CATTCGAAACATCAAGCAAACAACGTAATTTTATAATTAGGTAAATAATTATTATGAACTAGCAGAACCAGCGGCTTCGCTCGCGCTATAACTACAAAAGAAAAATGCTAATACACGTATTTATTTGTTTTAAGAGCATTAATACCGAGTTTCTAGTAATTCTGATCATAAATATTTTTTTGGGTTATATTTTATCGTGTTTTCCCGTGTAAAAGGTTAAAGATATGCCCTATGTCACTCTCTAGCCGTCCAACTATCTCCATACAAAAAATTACGCCAATTCGTCAATCCGTTTCGACGTGAAAGAAGGACAAACAAACAAATACACATTTATAATATTACTAGCAGAATCCACGGCTTCGATCGCACTAAAACTACAAAAAAAACCCTCTAAAAATTCTCCAACCCTCTAAACATGGTAGGTTTCATACAAACTTTCATCCGCTATTTTACCCCCTTATGGGATGAATTTCGAAAAATGCTAAAACATGTATCTAATTAATTGTATTGAAGAGCATTTATAAAAAGTTTCAAGTAATTCTGATCATAAATATTTTTTGGATTGTATTATAACGTACTTTCCCGTAGGAAAAAGATAATCTACCGCGGTAAAATGTAGCCTATGTCACTCTCCAGCCCTCCAACTATCTGCACACAAAAAATCACGCGAATCCGCCAATCCGTTTCGACGTGAAAGAAAGACAAACAAACAAACACACTTTCACATTTATAATATTAAGTATGGAAGTATGGATTCTTAAAGATGTTTCTATGCATTATAATGTAACATCACTTTGATTTATTACAAGTAGATAAAAAATATTACCTTAGAATTTAGATTATGTCAATGTCATTACAATATAAACATTAAACACGTACTATGCGTGTTTATCTTTCATGTGTGTAATCGACAGAACTAAACATTGCATAAAAATAAATAAAATTACTAATATATTAATTTCAATTGTTATTTCATTGTAATAAAACAATAGTCACTAATATTAATTTGAAAACCAATAAGACAATACATACTCGTACAAAATTTAAAATAGACTAAATACGAATGGTGTGTGTATTTTTGTACAAATATGAATAATAGTAAAATCGAATCTTTTAAAAAACACATTTTAAGTAAAAAGGTCTTTACATAAACTTTAAAGGAAGGTATTTTTTAAACTAAGAAAATAAAGCATGCATAAGTTTATCGAAATACCTACATACGTTCTGTCAAATCTGTTTCTTTAGGTTCTATTCTGTGTGTCAGCCGCACAAAAAAAAACAACAAATAGTTCTCATTAAATTTAACAAGACAATGCTAATAAATATTGTTTTGTCAATTGTTTTTTTTTTTGTTGAATTAAAATTAGTTAAACACCGCAACAAATAAATTTTCGGTATATAGCGTAATACATTTGTATTTTTATAAACAAATAGCATCTACTAAAGATAAGGTAATATAAAATATGGGATAAAATGGCTACCTAAGAGTCATGATAATCTAGCTAATACTTGACACTGTATCGCTTGATTGACACAACTAATGAGTTATTGGAAAATCGAAAGCGCTGTGCGTACATTTGTTGATAGCAAGTCGTGCGATTATGGCGATACGGGTACGTACACGAAAGCTTGTGCTTTTTTGCTTTCAGAACCTGCTTAGCCTTTCTATACCAAACCTTTAGTATCAAATTATCCATATAAATTATTATTATTGAAAACTTATGATGGTATGTTGTAAAATTATCTGATATCGTGCTACATCATAGTAATTTTTCACCTTATATTTATTTAGTATCTATACATATAATAAAGTTGTAACTAAGCCGAATCTGTACATTAAATATTTTTTGGAAAATCTTATTGAAATAAACATTATTATCGATACAGAGGCCGAATCTATAGTTTTTAGAATTTCTGTTCGTCTGTCTGTCTGTTACCGCATTACAGAAAAACCACAGAAGGGATTTTGATGAAATTTGGTATGGTGATAGCTAATTACCCGGATCAACATATAGGATACTTTTTACCTCGGGAAAATATCTCATTTCTGAAAAAAAATACAAAAGCTGCAATGTACGAGTATACTAATATGTAAAACCTAAGAATTTGGTTTTTGGTCATCTGAACGCGGGCGGAGCCGCGGGCAATCCTTTTCTTAGTGATAATGTATATTTAATAAAACACTTAGAATACAATATGTTAAATACAGTTATATTCCGTTTAAATATTACGTTTTAAATGGCAAAAGTCTAAAAATAAGCTTAAAAAGTTTTCTGGATTCCATTCTGTCCATCTCACAAGTGGTTTGCTCTCATTTTCCAAGTAGTGCGAAGAGATCGATCTTTCGACAATGTCTAGAAAGCTAGACTTAATACATTTTTTTCAAATTATTATCAATTTCTTATAAAAGAATATGTATACATAAAATGGGAAATAACATTGTATGATGAACATTAATGAAAATTCGTGTTTGAATAATAACTAATCTCGCTCGTCTATCCAGTAGTTAGTTGGGCAGTGCCACTTTTTGGCAACCCACAAAGCAAATCGTATGGATCACTAGTCAATCAGTAGCAAAAAGCGACAAAAATATTGAAAATAAATTAGAGAACTTTTAAATGTTTAATAAAACATTACATAAGAAACGCTGAATGCATTACACTGAACTATTTTAAGTTTATATTATAACTAGCAAGTCACCCTCGCTTGGGTTCATCCCTAGACCCTTCCCTTTACAGTAATATATGGAAATCTGCCCAATTTGTTGACATTTATGATTACAGTTCTACTCACTTGGATAGTAACATGATGATATAAAGCTTATAAGCCTACCTCAATAAACGGGCTATCTAATGCAAAAAGATTTTTTTTTTAATCACATTAGTAGTTCCTGAGATTAGCATGTTCAAACAAATAAACAAACTCTGCCTCTTTATAATATTAAGTATAGATTAGGATAATATAGGTTGATTTAAAAACAAAGCAAGTCTACTTCAAATACATTCTTAGTTACAGCTTGGTAGAGTAGCTCCATATTAATTGGGTCGTGTTGAGTAACAGACTACTTATATATTATATCTTAACACATTCATAGCCACAGACTGTACAGAAAGGGATAACACTGGCTTTTTTAGCAAAGGATATAATAAACAACAGCCTTGTATGTAAGAGTTTATAAATTATATTTAAATATTTAGTTTTATTTAAAAGGTACTTCAAGTACAATATATGTAACACTTTAGTTGAAGTACTGTTTAAGGATTAACATTTGTGTTATTTAAATATCTGGAAACTTACATATTTTCATTAATTATTTTGTTACCTCATTTAAGTCATTTATTATGATAACCTAAAGCATTAACAACAATCATCATACATAATATTGTTTGCTATGTCAACCAACATTGCCATTTTCAACAATGAAACCAAAGCCTATATTTAAAAGTATAGTTATAAACTTTGCTAACAGTAACTATCAATCACATTCACCTCCTAACAAGAGAGCTATGCATTCAACTTAATATGCTGTTTTGATTTCTTCCCAAAACAGAAATAAATTTATACAGATTGACACAATCAGCATTGAGCTGAATTATTTATGTTCAATTTTGTGAACACATTACATAAACTACATGACTGACTTTTAAAGGTTCTTTTTCATGGCAAGCAACATCAACTCTGCCAAAACAAGTCACTTCAAGTACATTATAAATAATTTAATTAATCTTAAATGTAGTCAAAAAAAAAAGAATATTTGTAATATGATAAATACAATAATCCTTCCACGACTGCGGACACGCCGGCATTATAGTTACCAAAAGATTTATTAGAAATTGACCTGGAGGTGTTAAGAAATTATAGTTTATTTGTGTACCAATTAACAAATTCTAAACTAAATTTCTAATGTAAATCTGTGAGAAAAAACTACAAGAAGACTATTTACACTTAGATTTAAAAAAATAAGTGGTAAAAAATTTATAAGAAACTCCCAAGATACGAGATTAGAAATAGTTATAATATAACATCTTCATTTAAATAAGGAATATAAACCTTAATGTTTACATTTAAAATGATAAGTGTACACTTGACATTTCCACAACATTAGATGCATTTCTGAACACATCATTTTAATTGATGTAAATAACCATCAATTGAAACGATAATTGGATACTTTGGTAAAGTTACATCATGCCACAGGAACAATAAGGTGTGATAATAAATCAGTCTAGTAAGGAGAACACATATATTTTTTAAGACAATATTATAATATCAATGGATTACAGCCATGTTATTAATTTAAATTATAAAAACAATATAATATTTTTAAAATTGTCAAGTCAAGAATTGATAAAAAAAAATTGTTACTTATTTAAGCAATTTATACCTACTTCAATTACTTGTGTGAGTCACTAGTGAGGCAAAAATCAATATTCAACAATGTATGTAGATCTGGAGGTTTCAAAGTTGTTACTATTTTGTTTTTTTTTTCTATTTTTATAATGTAAAATGAACTTATTCTGGTTACACACTATTTCGTTTATTAATTAAATGTTTTACTATTTGAATAATTTATCATTTACTAAAATTTTACATCCATTCACATATTCATGTTTTAGATGTTATTAATAATAAAAATGTATTATAATTGTTGCTTGCTTGTTGACATTGAATTATTTGTTATTGTTATTTAAACACTCTGCTATGGCATTAAATGCTTCAAATGTATGCAAAATATGAAATTGTCTAGTTTATATTGTATAGTAGTGGATATTATTAGAAAAGTTTAAGTTAATCTGCTTTGGTAACAGCTCATATTTTTATATTCAATAAAATAAATTAAAAATTGTTAATTGATATCTTTATGTAATAAACAAATAAATAAACTATATGCATAATATTACATAAAGTATATTTTTTTGTTAATATAGATATTACATTTTTTAAGACATTTATGTTTTATGCAAAAAATAATGTTGCAAAAAAAGTAATTGCCACCTTACCTCACCACTGCGAGCTGCAGGAGAATTTTCTTCGATTTCGTAAATAATATGTGGCAAACCGGCTTCGCCGAGTAAAGAAAATCCAAATCCTAAGTTGTCACAACGATTCAGGATCACTAGTCTTTCGTCAGCCATATTCAGTATACAGCAGCATTGGTTAATATCCTCCAAAGGATTTCACTTCTACCACGTAATAATTTCTCACAGAGGATAATCGTAATTGATATTACTCACTGTAACTAATGAAAAGACTCATAATTACAACTTGATATCAAATGCACCCAGCAAAACGACGACAGCGGACAGGCACAGACAGCACAGATAAACAAAAGGCTTTCCGCTTTAGGCTATAAAATTTAAAATATTTGATAGATATACCGAAATACAAAAAGCAACTAGGGAGGTACTTCGTAGTTCGTTAATTTCATAGTTACAACTTACACTCCGATTTACTCCAAAATAAATTATATAAAAGCAATAATAACAAAATTGAAAACATATTTTTTTTATTTATATATTATATTTAAAATTACTACATTGATCTTTATTTATTTAATTTTACTTAAATATCATCGCAATGAGTCAAATTATTTTTTGTTATCTTACTAATAATAAAAATGTGAAAGTTTAGATGTTTGGATGGATGTTTGTTACTCAATCACGCCAGAATGGCTAAACGGCTTTTAATGAATTTTGGCACATAGGTAAATTATAGCCTGTAATAGGACACAGGTAACATTTTATCTCGGAAAAATGTACGGTTCCCGTGGGATGGATTTATTTTTGTTTTCCTAGAGGCGAACCCAAGCGAAGCGAGGGTGAACTTAAAGATGTGTCAACTCAATTTACTAACTCGAGTTACGCTTAGCTCGAGTTAACTCGAGTTGAATTCTCTCTGACTCGAATTTGGATTGGCGTGGTAAATGAACGAATCAAGCGAGTACGTGATTGACGCGCTCTCGTTCTATCGCAAGCGCGGCGATTCGTTCGTTGTGTGCACACTTTGCACAGTCGTCAGCACTTAAGACTATACATTTATGTTGCAAAACGCTCCTATTATAGAATAAGATGCCACAGTACTTAACTTAAATCGCTGTCGCCCGTACTCCAGCTATAGCTTATCAACCGAATGACAGCTTTATAATATAATAATATAAATAAATAAATATAAAAAAATATAAATAATTATAATTGCCCCCAATAAATATTTATTACGAATCTGTACTATTAAATTGGTACAAACAAAACAAATCATTCACTTCATTTTTCATCCAGTTAACTCGAGTTACGTGAATTTCAACTCGAGTTAAAACGAGTCAAATTTTTTTTGAGTTGGTACATCACTAGGTGAAATACATTCATTGCAAGCAAGACAAAAATTTTCTGTGATCTTTTAAGAAGTTACCCAAACTATATCAAATTTCGAATGAGATATCATCAATTTGAGAATGTTATTGCATTTAAAATACTTTTTTCGAGCTGTTATGTAAATAGATTAGAATGGGGAAGAACTTTGCCTTTTTCTCCCGCCAGATGTCGCGATCAGTATCACCCTCAGTATATTGTAAAGCTTTATAGCGTAGATGGATTTTTTTCAATTTTTTACAATTTCGTCGTCGTCCATGATGAAATTGCGAATGCATTATGCAAGCCGGAATCAGGTCCCAATGATTGTTTGCTCGATCACTAAATGTATTTGGACGTACCTTTGAAGGCCAACAAACGTGCGACCTTGCCAACGCAAAATAACCTTCCTTGGCATTCGTTGGGTCGGTGTGTATGCAGCATTAGAAAAGTGACAAATGGAAGTCATTGGTTGAAAGGAATTTGACATTGACAAGGAGTTGTCAAATTTATTCATGGTCCCATGGATCATGGATGACAATTGACAAAGAAATAAGAATATTATCGTGTTAACTGTTAATCGTTTCTTATCGTGTAATAAGATTGCAGTCACAGTTGCCTTCTTGTGTAACTACTAACCTAATACCATCTTGGATAATAAAATTGTTTAATAAAGATGTATATCGTATCAAATATTGTAAAAGTTACAATTCCAAATTATTTGGCCAGTTTGCCTATACCTGATTCTATTGGTGGTTGGTTTCGCCTTGGCGGTAAGTAATTTTCTTTATGACTGGTTCGTTTTATGTTCCATATTACGATATATTTAATTTGAAACAAATTATAATGGAACAGAAAAAAAAATACAATTAAAAAATTATATAAAACCCCTGTTTTTATACATATTTTTGACGAATATCCATTTACAGAAATTTAATTCCAATATCTTCAGGTATCAGAAAGAAAATATAATTTCATGTAAAAGTATAAAAAATAATTTTAAAGCATAAATCAAATGTTATTGTGAAACATTTTTTCTTCTGTTAGTAAAAAATAATTCTTATACAGTTACTTGCATTTGTCAAGGTCAATGACATACTTTCAAGTAATTACAGTGTTTTATCCTTATTTATGGCCGTCCAATGAATAATGAATATCATGCAAAGTTTTAATTCAAAGTACAGATTTGAAAATGAAAAAAAGCACTAGGTTTTAGATGTTTAATTAATAATTATATTATTTTAGTTCTTTTTTGTTTCTAGTGCGTGACTGGGTAGCATTATTACCTCCAACTCTTGCTATTGGAGGTATATCTTATTACTCTTATCAAACAATAAAGAAGGCAAATGAAGCAGGGAATGGGCAAATCAATCCTTGTATTAGAAAGGATATTAAGAAAGTGGTAGATTTTATTGACATTGAAGATATAACAGAAAAAGCATCTCTTTGTAGGTGTTGGAGAAGTAAAAATGTAAGTAGATTTTGAATTATATATCATATCATATTCAGTATTAAAATATATATACTGATTAACAGACTAATTTATACCTGGGCCAGAAACCGTGGAGCATAGTGTTAAGAATTTAACAACATAATATTTCTTAACATGATTAATGAACACAAACATATTTTTATAATTGAATTCATAAAAGAATTAAAATAATTCTAAAAAAAAACATTTACTTAAATCTACATTTTAAAATACATTTTTTATTAAGTCCATATAAAATTTATAATATATTATGTGTAAATATATACTAGGTATGTTTCTCAAATGTAATCTTAAATCTTTTGTGTGCAGTAGGTTTGGGTACATTTGACATACATTTGATGTTATCAGCATTATCATATCAATTTTAATGTTTGTTATTTCATATATGGGTTACTTTAACATATATTAGTAAGTTAAATTACATATGTGGAATATTTTAAATAAACAAACCTAAGAAGACAAAAATTATATTAAAAGTAATTTTAATATTTTCAGTGGCCCTATTGTGATGGTGCTCATGGACCGCATAACAAGGCCACAGGTGACAACACTGGACCAGTAGTTGTAAGGCATAAGGAGAATAAGTAATTGCAATACAAATCTTAATAATAATGGAAACAGGTGATAATTTGTGATTATAAAATGCTATAGACACTATATTAATATCAATCAGTATGACAGTGATTTCAATCATTAACTTATTAATTCAATTTTAGTTTTCTTAAAAATGTGAAAATATGAAGTTTTCTTAAAAAAGTAATTTTAACCTGAATATTTTTTTTCTGAACTTTTAGGGTGTCTTTTGTTTTAAATTTAAACCACTTCAATTAACTTGCATTATATTATGGGGAGTTTTTGACTAACCTTATGTAGCAATTATTATTATATAAGTGGATACTTCATAATATGAAATATTTTTATTTTACATTGTTTTGAAACATGATTTTTTTGCTTTGACCTAATATTAAGTATTGATGTTACCAATTGAAATGAACAAATATAATAAAATTATATTGCATTTTTAATTATTTTTATTATTAAATAACTTTATAAAATACATCAAAAGTTCACTCAGTATCTTACCATTAATCACATCACAGACTTGTTTTGTCCTAAATTAAACAAATTATGCTAACCACATGCCAATAAATAATATACAAGTATAATTTTTTTAAGTCAACTAATTGTGGTGATTAAAAATTATATGGCACAGGTTCTCCTCCTTTATTTAATATTAAGTTTGAAAACTTTTTTCCAAATATAAAATTAAAAAATATTGTGTTTTGATAAAATATTATGAAAATAGCAACACTATCAAATTATAGAATTCCTTAAATTGATTATAATCATACAAATAGTTAAAATATATTTTGTCTTAAACATACTATGTCCATTCATTATTTTCAGAATGCTTTAACGCTCCAAAGTGCATATTATAGTCCATTCGCGTTAAGAAAGTAGTGAGTCATCAAGTGCAACCGCAGGGTAAAAGGTGTATTAACAATTAAGTAAAAATTAAATTCAAATATATTTCAAAAGATTAAGTTTAATGGATAAGATATGACGATTAATGGATAAGATTAATTTAAAAATCAACTAAATCTCAAATCAAAATAAAGTAATTAATAATATATTTAATCAGTATGTATCAATAGAATCTTCGTTTTTCTTTATTTATTATATATTTAGGCACAACGATGACTCACTATTTTCTTAATTCGAATGAACTATAGTTATATTATTTTATAAAATATGTTAATAATAAAAAAGATATGCAAAAAATATTTTTAGACGATAATTACCATTTTACCGGGATAAATAGTTCAGAAAATGCATACAGCGCCATCTACGAAGACGCATTATAAAATTTACCTAGTAGTATGTATATTTTTGTATGTTGTTATATATGTATATAGTTTAGGAGAATTTCTACTACATAATCAAAGACTAATTTTCTGCTACTAATTTACACACAATCAAAGACTATTTATTACACAATATTTTTTATCAAATGTCTCTTAAAATATATTTATTTATCACACAAACATCGCAAGATATGTTTTACAACGTACACTTAACCAAACTCAGTCTTGATGATTAAACTTTACATAATATCATAAGAAAATGTTGATAGGACTTCTTCGTTGTGTTCATAACTGCAAAACGAAAAATATAAATTACAATTAAATACATATATTTAATTCTTGTTGTAAGAATCTATTCGAATCTATTCGACTGAAATGAAAAATATGTATTAACGATTATTGCGCAAGATAGGTATACAAAAAATATAATAAAAAAATCCCAATCATCTCTCAAGGCATACCTATAATATTATTTTCTTGCTACTATCTAATCTTCAAAATCCAATAGGTCCTCACGACGCTCGAGTAAATTCCAATAGCATCTTGGAGTCCCCTACTATAAAGTGCAATTCTGATTGTTGTGCCATTACAATTTACAACTTTATTATCATACTAGCGGCTCACCCTCGCTTCGCTTGGGTTCGTCCCTAGCTTGATTCCCCATACAAATTTTCATCCCCATTTTCACCCCCCTAAGGGATGATTTCCGGAATAAAAATCATATGTCCTTCCCAGGGTCTCAAACTATCTTCCTACCAAATTTCATCTAAATCGGTTCAGTAGATCTAGAGATGTCGATATGACGTACAGCACGTACAGATGAGATGAAAAACGTTATTAATCTTATCTTTAAACGCAGAGAAAATGCGTGTTTTCGAGTTTTCATGCAGTTTTCTTTTGCATTATTCCACGCAAAATATGGTCGGTAATTTGCCCGCTCGGGTATAAGCATCGTGGTCAAGCGGCCAAGGTGCAAGATCAACAATCACAGGTGTCAGGTTCGAATCTAGGTCGCATATTGTAGTTATTACTTTTGTTTTTTTAATACTTATTCAAGTTTTTAGTTAAAAAAAAAAAGAAAATTGTACTTTAGGCAAAAAACTCCGAGCGAAGCTCGGTAGCCCAGGTACTAGATATATTAAACAAAAAGTATCAAACTAATCATTTTTTTAATATTTTATTCATTTATACCGAGTTAAATTAAATTTACTGGTTTACCTCGATTCTCGTCTCTGCAACAACTTCTTCGTTACGTAGAAGTTCATGTTTTAAACCATTCTTCTTTCTGGAATAAAAAAATGTACATAAGTTTATTTAGATTATCATTTTCGACTTATACCTACTAGGTATACAAGATTACATAAAATAAAATAAAAATTAAAGATTTATAATAAAACATAATAGTATGTAGGCACATATATTATAAATTAGACCACTTTGGTCAGGACATTTATATCCCATTTATACATTTTACAATGCGTTTCCGTCCCACTTGACCGCTTCCTACGCCCTTAGCCATTGCCTGCGGGAACGTATCGAATTACCTCATACAATGTTTGTGGCTTCACGTTCAAGAAGCCACTAAATAAACTTTCCATTCGACGGTCAATAAAAAACTCGTAAATATATGGGAACGTCCGTAGGAAAAAACCCCTGCGGCGATTTATAATGCTTTATTTGTGTAGACTGAAATTTGTGGTCAAAGCATGTCCTATCTGTTTCATAAGTTAACATTGGACATAAATTGACGTGAGCGATAAATTAATTACATATTTATTAGTTTTTCGTGCGTACAAATTTGAGAGAACCAACCTAAAAAAATTTAATAGTCAGCAACGCGTAAAGTTGATTACGTATGTATTAGAAATTAATTATGAACATGAAAATGGAAACTTGGATCTTTTTTTGAGCAGCTCTTAAGGAAATGAAGTAATATCAAGGTAATTTTGGTACATATTATTGAAGTCAAACTCCACTTTATTAGCTTATACATTAACGGTATACTTTTGCTATTGACTCATAAGTCATGAAGGTTGTAAGTGGAGATCAGATACCTAATAGGTACTTTATCTATCTATATCTAATCTGTACAATGCACATGAAATATTAAAAATATGACTGATATTTTGTACGGAATAAAGACCTCAAAGCAATCGTTATCTATATCTATACATAGTATTTAACAATATCACTGTCTGCCTGTAGTATAGATAATTGCGTTAACAGTCTATTATTCACTTGAATGTAACTGCGCGAGCGTTACTAGCGCCTACTTCATGGCGCCCAAAAATATGGCGTGAGTTTCGGAATATACGAAATACGGACTACTTAGATAGGGTACATCTTGTTGCAAGGAATAAAAATGGCAAAGACAAAAAATAAATCATAAAGTAGGTAGGTATCTACTTAAATTATTTTAATTTATTGCTGATAATATAACAAGGAAATCATTTGAATTCTGTTTAAATTTCAAATTAATTTTCGTAGGAGTGACTCAGTTCACCGCATTCCTCAGGTTTCGAAACAATGCGTTAGGTGGCGGTTTCGCCGCGTTTTGTCTTAATCACACCGGAACAAATATAATGTAGGTACCTATGTATGGTAAATGCAAGTAGGTAGATAACAAAATAATGATTTCGGCCACAGTGGCGAATCGCACTAAAACTAGCCATGTGCGCAAGAGATATTATCGTGTGAAAAGCTCTCAACATGCATTTTAAACTCTAGGCACTAGAGTCTAGTGGGACGACAATTAGACACGACCGATGAGAGACCATTACAGGATCTATATACGCTCTCAAAGGAATGAACGCGCTAATCACAGGAACTACTTATCCGATTTAAAAAAATCTTTTTGAAGGTGTTACGTGAGATATGAGACATGAGAATTTCTTGGCAGAAAAATTCAATAACTATACTTTGTCCTACCTGGGATTCAAACTCAAGACCTCCTGATCTGTAGATAACACAAATGTACATCCTAGCTACTAAACCAATAAGGCAGCTCAAAATTACATATACGCTGCATAAAGAAATCGCAGCGATCTACCGATTGTGTCTAGTGAGAACTTATTTATTACCTACTGCCTGCGGCACTACCCGCCACAACCTCAGGTCTATACTGTATACACTGTGTAAATATATCTAATTATAATTATGAATTTAGAATAAAAAGTTTCCTGAAAATTCATTTAGACTTTAGCTGTTAAGAGAGTTACGTAACAAGACAGGCAGATAAAAACGCTTAAAAATATATTTGTCTTATATTCTGGCAATATTTTAAGTACCTATTTTAAAACAATAAAAACCTTAACGTATGATATGTACTAGTTACAAATAAACTTACAAGTATATCCGTCTCCATATAATGAGTGCAGTGTAGGCTACAACGACAATGCCAACAGTGATAGCGACCATGATACCAGCGTCTGTACCGATCGGCTCACCGCGAACTCCTGCATAGGTCCTTCGAGGTGAAGTTTTACGAACAGGTGCTTCTGATAAAAAAAAATTCTGATAGAAAAATTTATGTTTATGTATTTTAGAAATAAAAATTACACAATTAAAATTGTGGAGTATCTATAATACAAGAATATGCAGACCTTTCATAAATATTTACGCTGGACATATTTAGAGATCGTCTATCTAAATTAACTTAAACTGTAATTACTAATCAGTTATATATTTTTATTGTTAAAACTATCAACGTTACTAATTTATAATCTATTCTATCTAATATTATGTAAAGCTGAGTAGTGTGTTTGTTTATTTATTGATTATATGAAGAGCTCATATCCATACTTCCATACTAATATTATAAACGTGAAAGTGTGTTTGTTTGGTTGTTTGTTTGTCCTTCTTTCGTCTAGGTACAATATTTACCTTGAAGGAACTCTGCTTGCGAGTCAGGTACGACAGGTACGTCAACCCGACCTTCCTCAGCGTCCTCAGGAAACGTTGGCAGCACGAGATTCTCGTGGGTGTCATCTTTTGAATGTAACATATCGAATACTTCTGACCTGTTGGTTTTTAAGAATAATAGTATAAATATTTTCTAAAAGTAATATAATCTTTGCTTTTTAGGAGTCCGATACCTATAGGTAAATAATTATATATATAAGACAGAGTTTGCTTGTTCGTTTGTTTCTTTCTCAGGAACCACTAATCCGATTTTCCATACTTTTTTTGCATTAGATAGCCCGTTTATTAAGGACGGCCTTAGGCTATTATTATAATAGTAGTATTGCCCGCAGCTTCGCCCGCGTTCAGATAACAAAAAACTAAATTCTTAGGTTTTACTATATTAGTACAGTTTTTGTATTTTTCTCAGAAAATAGACATTTTTCTGCGGTAAAAAGTATCCTATATGTTGACCCGGATAACAAGCTATCACCATACCAAATTTCATCAAAATCCCTCCAGTGGTATTTCTGTGATGCGGTAACAGTCAGACAGACAATAATTCTAAAAACCATAGATTCGGACTCTATATCGATAATAATGTTTATTTCAATAAGATTTTCCAAAAAATATTTAATTTACAGATTGGGCTTAGTTACAATTTTATTTTATGTATAGATGATGATATAATAGTATTATATCATCATGCTACTGCCCAAGGGAGCGGAGCAGTAATCATAAATGTCAATGAATAGAGCTGATTTCCATACATTATTGCAAAACTATATATATCGTTCGGGACGAACCCGAGCGAAGCAAGGGTGAGTCGCTAGTTATTATATATTTACGTATTTTGTTTATGCCAATTTTTGAAAATGGCAAAAGACTAAAACCATTTAAAGAAAATGTCTAGGCAATGTTTATTCGATTTTTCTGAAAGAATTTAATGAAGCTTTATCATCATAATTATTAACTGTAAAGCTAACATAATGTAGCTTACATGATGTAAATATTTATTCCAATAGTAGTTAATATCGTCAATTATTTCATAATTGATGCAATATTCAGTTTAAACGAGTAATAATTTCCGAATCAAACTTTAATAATTATTTTTCAGCTTATTTTTATAGGTACCGTTACATTACCGGTTTTTGATCTTCTTGTGTGGTGATTAACAAACCATGAACGCTACGTAAGTAGGTATAGGTACATACATACATGCATACCTAATTTTATGTCTGTGTTGGTATAATTAGTTGTAACCGTCGTGAGAAATCTTAATCACTGTTACAATTGGGTCTCGAATAAATTATTAGCTAGTTCATTGTACCTATACAAACTCTTTAACATATGTATGACATCCTGTCTCTCCGAATATAAAGCGTTGGACACGTTGGGAATCAAAATTTAAGTTAAATCTGTTAAAAATCCTAATTTAAAATCTCTTTAACAATTTAAAATTTCAATTCAATACATATAAGCGTTAGAAAGTTGATTTTATCAAACATTTGAGCACTTAAATAAAAATGGTAGCTACCTGCTTACTCCATCTTTATCGTCCACCAGTAGTTTCAAGAGGGTAGCGTTAGCTTCTAGAGTTTTATATCTGCTGTTGTCTTCTACTTCTTTCAGGAGATTAGGAGGTGTGAGTTCTTCTATCTTAGTATCTTGCAATGAATTTTGGCTGCGACATGGTTCTGTACCTAAAACGAAAGTATTTTAATGTTTCCAAAATATTCTCGATATTTATAACCATTTTTATAAACATAAAGTCAATATTTGTTTATAGCAGCGACGACTAGTCTATTCAAATCTGAATGCAAGAACCACTTAAGTAAATCATAAATAAATATGATTACTTGGTAATATTGAATCGAAGATTTCAATTAGTGGGGCAGGTGTAGAGTATGGTGTGTGCATAACGGTGTTTCCAACCCGGTTTTCTTGCCTAAACCTTACCAAAATCAAGATTTATGTTTTATACGAAAGATTTGAAGGCGTGAGTCATTTTAGTATTCAAAGCTCTAAGATACGGTAACCTAATAATTTCAAAGTGAAAGCAACAAGTTAGACGTATCGGCAGATCTTTTATTTATGACGATGTTTAAAGACGCGTCATGTCGTGCTCATATATAAAACACGATTAGTGCTAATTGGCCGCGCAAGTGTCTGAGGTTTCTATCTTATCGATAATTCCCATAGTCATTAGTTAGACGAAGAGAATATCCGTTGGTCGGTATACCTATTAAGATTGTGTAAAAAAGCCTCATGTCAGTGTATTTTGATTGGTTTTCAATTTTTTTTTGTTAGTTTAATTCTTTCCTTTCATATCTCAGTTCCCTGTAAAGTGACGCAAAAGTTTAGGCGTACTTGAAATCTTCTTGGTGGGTATCTTCAAGAATAAATTTTATTATATAAATGATAAATTATCTTACCAATTAGATATATTATACCTACTTATTGTAATACTAGCAACTCACCCTCGCTCCGCTCGGGTTCGTTCCTAGTTACGTTTTAAAATTTAGTATAGATTTCTCAGCTTGTCCTTTTAATGCTTTATGTTTGACAAGTAAATAAATCGCTGTATAAATAATACCACAGGCTTTGTTTAAAGCTGTATCTCTATTCTCTGGCGGTATTGCGCTATCCCGTTTGTATGCGCTTTACAGCTGCCGGAAGAGTGGCCATTGCAGTTTCCTTGCGATTCAAATCAGATTTAATTCAGTTTAGATTTACTAATTTAAATTATGATACATTTCAAGTTTGAGTGTGTTTGGATAACTATGTAGATAGAAATATTTTTGTTGAGTATAAAAACTTGTAACCAGTTATCTTTTTATCTTAGCAAAGAGATAAATGATCATAATAAAACGATGAAATTGTTATTTTTATGAACCTTGATAAATTTACGTAACAGTATGATAATAGTATTTTTATTGATGACCTTTGATGGTATATACCATTACCCATAGGCCATAAGTCTTGTTTTATAAATGTAGGTACAAAACAGGTTATATACTCGTAAGTAAATATTTTAAAACGCCCAAAAAATTTAAAACGCGTTGAATATTCCTCTTATCTGCTTGTGAATTAGTTAAGTGCTCACTTATCTCAAATTGGTCAAATAGTCCGTCATTGCTACACCCATTCCCTACAAATAGCTTCCAGTTACTGAGAGAATATTTTAAATAAATAAATTTCATATCGTTTAAAAATAACAAACACTCAATTTAAATATAATATTTTATATTTATAAGATAAAAGTATAAAAAATGTATAAATTAAAATTGTATCCATTGTTATATATAATATGGAAAACGATGTTATTTATAGCAAGTTAGCCAGTGCAAAGATTCAAGTTTGCGCTTAACTAAGCAAATTCAAACCAGTTGGACGCTGATAGTCTGCACTAAGGCTATACCTATACGTTTGTGCGTTATATTGGCATCGAAAGTGGCTAAGATTTCTCGTCAGGCCGGCATTTTTTCCATATAAAGTTAGTCTGGCCTTACTTAATGTTACATGTATGTGAGCTCTCACGTTCAAAGGAGAAAGGTATTTCATGTTGCATTGCGAACAGTAATGACTGATTACACTTTTTATTGTGTAGGAATTGAATGAAAGCGATTAATTTGAATAACGTTATACAAAAATAATCTTTTTAATATGTTTCCGAATTGAAATTGTGTAATTGATGTGACTATGAATATTTTTTGGTAAAAGGTAATAAAATTTCCAAAATAAAGCCCAACAACGCAAAAGCCAAGCCGACAAATAGGTAATAAGTATCCTTCCTGCTAAATCGTGCATTGTTAAAATAACTTCAAGAGATTTCGGTCACGTATAAGAACATATTTAGGACACGAAAACCTTGATGATGTTAGCAATTGGCATGACGCAAAGTTGGGTGGTACATAGGTACCCTTCATTAAACCTGTCTTGTGATAAACACATTTTGTTTATTGAATATAATATGTTACGGGCAACTTGAATAATTGGGCAGTATTAATGGACCGATCATTGTGAATAATGACCAAGAGCGTCGGTCAAAGTGATTTATTACTTTGACCAGCCCATATTAATAATATCCGACGGCCAGTGGTCCAATTAAAAAATCAAGGTTTTGAGATAGCTTGAATTTATCACTTGGGCCGAGCAGTATGAATACTTCCCTATTTCTAGCCGGGCAATGTGATGAATTTAGGGCGCACGCAGCGACGTGTTAGTTTGCAGTAAGAATGTCCCCGAAAAGACTCATTTTGATGGAGAAGGCTTCTAACATTACAATGGTACTGGTAATTGCAATTCAAAACGTAGTAAATACAAGAAAACAAACATTCTTTACAACTTAAAATGTTACAAAAACTCGCCTTGCAACAATAAATAATCTTAATATAATTATTGCACAATCCTAAGATTCGAGTAAGTATTTCAGTTAATTTTTCAAGACATTTTTTAGATTCCTAATTAATTCTTAAACTATAGTTCATACGTAATATTTTTATCAAAATAAAAGTAAGGTAACAAAATAACTGATGTTATTACTTCAATTATTTAACTTATTTTAAACTGAAGTTGAACTAAATAAGAACTATGTAAGTATTTATAATGAGTATGTATTTAAAGTTATATATGTGTAGTGTATCAACCTGGTATCCATAACACAAGCCTCGCAGCCTACCATGGAACTAGATGGCGCTGTGTGTTAATGTCCCAACATATTTATTATTATTATGTAAGTTTCATTTCATATAATGAAACCACTATAGTTCATCTGTTTTATTATATTGCCAAGATAGGGTAGTAATTAATATTATTCAGTGACCGGACTTCTCAAGTTGCCACTAACATATACTTACCTACGTACCTACATCATTTATTGCTTTATACGTCTAGATTTTAAAGGAACAAGGACAATTGCAGTATCAATGTAATATCAATCTACTGAAATCCAGTCACGTTAAATCAATATAATGAAAAATATCAATTTCTTACATTATTTGATGTAATTTTTGAAATTTACGTACGTCTTAACATAATTGGGTTATCACAGTTCAAATAACACTATATGAATTATAATGTGTTTAATCAAAAAAGTAACAATAAAATAGAATGCACATAAAGTTGTACCTATGAGATAAACTTCTTGACCCTTTTAGTTAACAGTCTTTGTAAGTCAGTCTCTGGAACGCGTGGTCACGTTTCTAAGGTAAAGTAATACCCAGCCGACTCTTGAAAAGGTCACTCTAAGGTAAATGTAATATATTATTCTCTCGTTCATTCATGGACTTTATAAATGAATCACAGTTTTACGTTTAATCCCAAAAAAATACGGTAGACAATCTTGACGTAGCACTGAATCATCGTGTAAGTAAGGCATGGGTATTCATTAAATTTTGTTACAGCCGCAAAATGTCGACTCTGCTGACTCACACCCACGATCTCACCTGTTTCTAAGAATATGTTATTGCGAGTATTATTAAATTGCAATTAGATTGTAGCGATGACCCGCTGTGAATAATGATAGCGACTGTGTCGGAAAATCGCTTTGTTGAGCGAACTGTGATGTAACTACGTACTAACTAATGAATATTAAAAGGAAAATCAATGAGCGTTCGGAATAAATAATTTTCATTCATACTAGGGGATACTATTTTTACATTGAAAACACCGAGATGATGTGTTACAAAGAAACCGGGGAAAAATAAGCAGATGACATAATTAACTACTTGATTTTTGACTTAATGTTAACCCAATAGACGGATATTTTACTTGGTTAAAGTTCGTACTTTAATACATGTGTATTGTGTTCCCATAAATTCTAATTTGTTTCAATAAAGTAAATCTAAATATCCCTAAAATATAATATTCTCGAAAAATGTTACAAATATCGCTCTATTACACGCATGTAGATATGAAGGATGAACAATAAAAAGATAAGACCAGGTAGGTACATAACTGAAGAAATATGATAATATCGAAATATAAAAACGAAAACATTTCATCTACCTAGTTAGTAATATCTCTTAAAAGTACGGTGTTAATGATAAGAACAATATATATATGTACGTATCACATATGTATTTAGAAGGCCACAAAGAATGATTCCGATAAATGTAGGTACAATATTGAATAAGAAAACATATTATGTTTTTATATTCTCGTACTACATACGTGACTATTGAAAATACACTTATAATACTTTATTAAAAGTAACACATATATGATATAATAGGTACCTAGCATATAAAGGGGATCTATTTATACATAATGAAGAAGGTAGTGTTGATTCAGTGATGTAAATCAAATCTAGGAATTTAAGAATGATTTTTTTATTTCAATTCAATATTGGCAAGTTATTGTGAGCTGTAGACAAAAAATAGTCTCTGTCATTCAAGGATTGTTATAATTATAAAATTTAAGAATTGAATCCATGTAAATAATATAATAACGTATAGGACGTACTGAAGTTTAACCAACCCTCTACGTCAAAACTATCAAACCATCTCTATATATATGTATAATATCAATCTATACATATAATAAAATTCTAACTAAGTCGAATCTGTACATTAAATATTTTTTGGAAAATCTTATTGAAATAGACATTATTATCGATACAGAGGCCGAATCTATAGTTTATAGAATTTTTGTCTGTCTGTCTGTCTTTCTTTCTTTCTGTCTTTCTGTCTGTCTCTCTGTCTGTCTGTTACCGCATCACGGAAAAACCACTGGAGGGATTTTGATGAAATTTGGTATAATGGTAGCTGGTTATCAGGATCAACATATAGGATACTTTTAACTGCGGGAAAATGTCTCATCTCTGAGTTATATATACTAAATCAAAATAAATTAGGACGAACCCGAGCGGAGCGAGAGTGAGTTGCTAGTTGTAAATATGTATATGTTTAATTAAGTACTTAAAATATGTACTAAATTATTATATTTTTATTTTTTTTTAAAGTTATTTAAAATGATATGGAATTCGGAAAAGGAATTTAAACGTGTTAGTCTAAAGATTATACACATAAAATGAATGTTGCATATACAACGTTTTGTATAAAATATACTTTTAACGACAGTGATCGTTAAAACATCGTCAACAATGAGGTCAACAATGTAAAGCTTAAGAAAATCTTACCCAAGGCAGCTACAACGACCAAACATAAGAACTGGTATTTCGCCATGAGTCGCAAGGGGTCTGCAAAGAAATAATTTAAGTAATTATTCACAAATATAGTAAAACCTACTATGATAAAAGGACATACATTATTCAAATTAATAAGATATAATAGTTGATATTATATAAAAAATTGCTTCGTGTACTAAATATATATATTACCGATTTTCATCACTTTAGGGATGGATTTTAAAAATTCCTTTATTGTTAGAAAGGATTTTTTACCTATATACTAATATGTTGATAAAATTTAATTTATCCAGTTGTGGTAAGGACGCTTTCGATTAATGACCCAGCCAGCAGATGCAGTTTCACTTGTATATGTATACACTAGCGACTCACCCTCGCTTGCTCGGGTTCGTCCCTAGCTTGATTCCCCATACAAACTGTCATCCCCATTTTCACCCCCTTAAGGGATGATTTCCGGAATAAAAAGTATCGTATGTCCTTCCCAGAGTCTCTATCTTCTTACCAAATTTCATTTAAATCGGTTCAGTAGATCCAGAGATTACAAATCTATTAAATAACCAGATAACTACCTATATAACCTATCTAATATCCTCTGTATGTCTTATCTCTGTAACTCTTTACCCTGATCCTTAAACAGTACTTATTACTTAGGTAGTAGTTGTTACAATTATAAATCGTAACTTTGATTGGTTTGTGTCTTGTATATGATCTTTCATATCCTCTTACTGTAATACAGTAGGTATATGTATTTATTTGATTATTTTTACAACGATAAGTATTCGAGTCATACAGACAGCCATTGTTACTATTTTTAATCGACTTCAAAAAAAGTCGGTGCCAGCCGGTGCAAAGCACAGCAATCAATTTCGATACGTATAAGTACATCACAAATTGATGTAAATATAATATTTTAACTATAATTAGAGTCCATACCTTGTCATATTTACTTATTAGATATTCATATCTTAAAGCATTGTCGGCTGGCACCGACTTCGAAAGTACCTGATTAAGTATCTATAGTAAATGAAAACTTCCGTTATACAGTATACTACTACCTATTATGAATTTTTTTTTTTAACGTTGGGAAATGCATTTACGCACGACGTGTGGGACTCACCGGCGTAATACAGCCAGTACTACCCACTAAAACCCAACAAAACCTTCCCCCGTCTTAATGGGGCGTCGCAGGATCGCTTGCGCATTCAACTACGACGCCCCGACGGCAGGTCTGCCGAAGCAGACCACCACAACCATGGGGTTGCTCCACAGTCCACTCTGCTATCAGAGAAGTACCAGGAGCAACCCGCATGGTACACCGCCCCCCAAAGAGGGCCACCTCCCACCGCCCACCGAAGTGGGCAACCTCCCTGTGCGTTTCTTAGCTTCGCGCCCGGTTGGATTGCCGGGCACTACTGAGCCCCCCCACCACGACAAGGTGAACGCACGTTGGGGGGGACCTATTATGAATTAACCCAATTCTAGGTGGGTTTTGTTTTCCTTTTTCAACTTCGAAAACGTTAATAAAAAAATTACTTTTCATAAATGTAAAAGTATAGTTAAATAACATTATTTTGTACGTTTTCATTTTAAAATTAATTAAAATGCTAAAGTTATCTATTCTACTAATCAATCAAAGTAATTATTATATATCACAAATTGTTTTGTGGTCGATAATTTAATATCATATGCGGTTTCTAAAGCGCTTACTTCTTAGATGCTCTTGACTTATAAATGTATAGGTATATTATATAGAAGAATATGATTTTAACCAAGTATATGTGTGTATAGATTAAATGGATATTATTCAGTAATTAAATTATGTCAATTGTAGTGGTCTACAGTCTGCGTATATATATGATTGTCACCTAGACCCCAGAATGGCGGAAGTTGCAGTTTGCAGACAATGGTTATTTAATAGTTGGGTTTATATCGAGAATAAGTACCTTTTCTATAAGGGAATTAAAGGAACCCCCACGGGCAAATATGAAAATTTAGAAAATCTGTTATGTATAAAGACAAAAACAAATTTTTATTTTCATTTTTTACTAAGCAACGGTGAATTATTTTAAGAGTAATATTAGAAAGTCGAAGAGTTTAAAGATTAAACTATTTACAGTAGTTTTGTGCTTTATGAATATTAAATATAGGTATGTACCTATAATTTTATGGTACGATAAATGAATGGCTGTGTTAAGACAGTGTTGAAATCTCCAATTTAATTTATGCTTAGTAAGCGTAGCATTTAATACATTTCTTTTCATTTTAGTTTTTATTTGATTTGATTATGGTTAAGCTCAAATCTTTATTTTTTATAAGTGTAACATTTAGGTATTCCTGTTTAGAAGATCTTGAATTTCAATAGTTTATTCTTTTTTTAGTTAATGTTTTGTAGAGGTTTAGGTACATTCATTTTAATTTATACATTTTTAATTATCGGGTTTTGATTCTAAGGCACACGTCTTTTGGGTCCAGTTGGAAAACTATAACGAAGCCTGTTTGCCTGCTATCGGTCTGCTGGCCTTTAGCTATGTGGCCATACTATGTGTATAGCACAAACCCTAAAGAAAAAGAATATGTGATAAAAATTGACCAAGTGTGAGTAAGATCATATTATACTTAAAGTAAGCGTCTTTTCTTGGTAAATATTTACATAAAATAAATTGTGTAATTGCCATCAAAGACTTTAGTTATTTAGTCTACATTGTGTAAGTAATGCTAGAAATGTTTTTATATATGTAGAGCAGTGAAGAATGTCGAGATAAGTATAAATTCTTATTAATATTTGCATGTTTTCACCTTATCTATGGCTTTATCTGCGGTCTTGGCCGATAGATAAGAAGTCAATAATAATAAATACTTAATAATGAAAATAAATATATGCGATGACCACGCTAACTTTGAGTAGGCAAGTAATTTAAATTAACTGATAAAATATTTCTTATTTATATATGCAAAATGACGACGAAATTCTATTGTAATTAATTAGAAGTAGGTACCTATATAACGAATGATGGAGTATGTATTATGTATACATATATACTATTTACACAATTGATTTTCTTTGCGTTTCAGTAATATTTTTTTTATTCCATTAAATCGAATTATAAGGGATACCTACATTTGATTTTAAATATCTGTTCAATTTAAAATTAAAAATCTAATCATTATATTGTCGATCTCTTTGTTTGTCTTGTTATTTAAAAGGAAATAAATCTTAACTTACTCGAAAATTCCGGAAGTAAAAACAAGTTTGTTAAAGAGTGATAAATTAATAATTCATGAAAACATCGCAATTGAACGGGATTTTCTTATTTTGCCCCCGAAACGTAATAGCAATAAAGGTAACACTTTCTTAACGCTAAAATTACCTGGTCAGGATCTGATTTCCAAGTTCACTTTTCAACTTAATTTAATCTGCACTCGCTTTGTCACTATTCGATCCGGTTTGGACGCGGGTGCGCGTTGCGTGCGCGTGCGTCGCTCTCTTGCGGCATTCTGTGGTCCGCGCCCGATGGGGCAGTGCCGCTGACCTCCTCGATGCAGGAAGCTCACAAAGTCTTATTGGATAATGGATATGGCATTCTCATCCATCAATGAGAGGCTCATGATTTAAGATTCTATCGTTTTTATATTATGAATCATCGATTTATAGGTTTCTTAGAAAAATGTAGAGCTGTGATTATAGGACGAAAAATCAATAGATACTTGAATAATTTGCATTTAACTACATAATTTAAATCATATCATCATATCATGGGATAGAACCATACACATTATTATTATTATCGTTTTAAATGTATTTTGGTCTGTTTCAACAAGATTCTTCTCTTACGCTTGTTTACATACCTACTCTGATAAAAATAGGTATCTATGCAGTAGATACATACGAACGAAACACGTGTTTCTAATAAAATATTTATAATAATATGGTTGCCAACATCTGCTATAAGATATACATAGAATGAGTCGATACATCTATGTTTAAGTTGCTCTACATTTCTCTTGGTTATGATGGGGTTACACAATGAGTCCTGTAAGTTGATTATAATATTGTTGTATTCTAAAAATCTAAATTTGTTTTCAAAAAGTTTTAAGAATCAACTTATTTTTATAAATAAAAAAGTTTTTAAGTTATCAGTCACGCTTGCTTACCTACTCCCTTATTAGTCTTCGTTGTTGTGCGACCTCTCAGGAACTGAACTATGCCCCGAGAACCGCTGCTACATTTTCTGCACCTACGCTTGGCAGTTTGCAAATATTGGTTCTTTAATTCTTTGCACTTGAACCATCTTATTCTTATTTATTTATATTATCATTCTTAGAGAGTGAAATGAAATCTATTATTATTATTATTGGCGATTTTTATTTGATTTAGATTCATTTTAAAAATATTACATACATTGTCTATTTTTTCATTATTTATTATCTTTTATCTCAGGTATTTAAAAATGTCAAAATGTAGTGTCTGTAACAATGTATAAAATTCATAAAATTTTATTAAAAATGTTAAAAATATGGCTAATATTTATTATTTAAACGTAAATGATAAAAATATAGTCCTTTAAAAATGCGCTGGTGCTTCTGCAAACATTCTATAACCACCGTAAACACAGTAAATTGCAAAGTAGAAGATTTGAAGAAAAAAGAAATGGAAATAAGCTTAAAAGAGTGTGAACTTAAAAACAAGGAGAGATATTTAGAAAATAAAATTGTAGAGCTCAATAGGCTTACTGACTGTAAAGTGAAAAAACAGTTAGCAGCGGCTGTTAAGTTAGATAATGCACGTAAATTGTTATTAAACGCAGTTAATAACAAGGATAAAAATGAAAAAAATCAGAAATGTAAGTGCTACAAGTCGCATAAAAAAAGCAAGCGTGAATTTAAAAAACCTACACAGAAATTGAAATCTGAAAAGGAAAAACAAGCTGTAGATATTGTACATAATTTCTTTGATAATTTTTTTAAAATAGATAGGGATATGGCTAAACTGTCGAAAATAAATACCGAAGATTTCATAACTAAATTTAAAAGAATACTTTTGAAACCTTATACCTTTCCACCTTTCCTATGTAATACATGTAGATGTAGACCAGAATTCAGGCACCAGCAGCGAAGGAAATGGGACGTAGCCGCAGGCGACTGTTATTTGATGACGCTACGAAAAACTCCACAATTATGGATCTATCACCGATGGCCTAGATTATATCCGAAGTATTTAAGCACTAGAGCACAATGTAAAAATGTAAAATTTTTACTGACGCTTTTCCTGGGATTCTTATTTTGGATACCGTGCTTTATTTGTTTGGAAATATGCAAGTGTTGCCTTTGCTTTTGCTGCTCCGATTGTTAACTCTAATCTACCTAAATATGACATTGATTGTATTGATTTTTCTACTTTTATTATTGCTTGTAAAATAAATACCAATTACTAAATCGTGTTAACTACTAAAATGCTATGTATGTGTTTGGTGGTGTGTTAGTTTTTAGGTTTATATTATAAAAGTTCTCTGAACCAAATCTCGGTCACAGGGGTCAATGTAACAGAAATATTAGGTATAACAAGCCATTTACGCTAAAAGTATTGTTGAAAAATTGTGCGCATAAATACAAGTGCACTTTAATTTCATCCTTTCACTTTCATCATCCGATGGATGATAATCTGGGAGGATTGAGGTATATTATTACTGACTGCTTTTCGGTGTCTCCAGGACATGGGAATGTTGTTACATTCCGCGTTGTTACATGGCGGTGTTCCGCCAATTTCTCAACTCTAGACTGTTTCTGAGGGTTTCTTTGATAAGAACTTCAGGTTCTGCATATTAGCTACAAGACCTAAGAAATGAAGTGGTCGGGTAAGGTGAGATTTGCAGAGGTACCTACAGGATATTAAAATATAAATATATCCATACCATATATAATAATATCATGTTAAATAAAATAACAATATAGTCATGTGTGGGGTAAGGGTATTTTCGTGATTCATTATTTGAAGTTATTTAAAGCCAAGTAGTTTTTGGTTTGCAGTCCATTCCTTAAGTAAATATAATACAATATTGACACGTCTAGATATACATTATACATATAACAAAATTCTAACTTAGTTGAATCTGTACATTATTAATTTTTTGGAAAATCTTATTGAAATAGTCATTATTATGGACCCAGAGGCCGAATCTATAGTTTTTAGAATTTTTGTCTGTCTTTCTGATGGCATCACGAGAAAACCACTAGACAGATTTTCCCATTTTGTTTGGTATGTGGGGATTTTCTGGGGCGAAAAATCGATCTAGATTAGCCATACGCCTGGGAAAACGCGTTTTTTCGAGTTTTCTATCTATTTCAATATTCGCGAATGCGAATGTTAACTTAACTTACAATTTACAAATAGTTTAGTTGAGTATTCATTATTTTGTTTTTTTTTTGAGTTTTGTAATGCATTATTTTTAATTGTTAGATAAAAATATATAGTGGAATGGAAAAATATATAATTGAAGCCAAAGGTTATGTTATTAATAAGGACTATTATTAAGGACATTAATTTTTTTAGTTTAGTTGTGATTTTTTAAATATTTTAATTAGACTAAAAAAAACAATAGAGAAAGTATTTCTAATTTAGTTGCCTACTTTAAGACCATAATATATTTTTTACTAAAATTTTATAAGTAAATAAAAAAATATAACTCATAAAAGTTGTATTATTATTTCATATTTATCTATTCCATATATGTACATATAATTTCCTTTTGGTTTGTCAAATACATTCGCCAAACATTCGCATCGTTTCTTGCGAAATGCGAATGCGAATATCAAAAAATTTGCGAATATTCGCGAATGCAAAATATATTCGTTACATTACTAAAATATAATACCTACTAATTACTTTATCGTAACTATTATTATATGTTATTTTTATTTATATTTCATTGGAGTTCACGGGCGTGAAGGATCATGGTTCTTTGGAAGGCTTGCGTAAATACGCAGATTCCACAAGCACCTAGATATTTAAATTAAGTCCCCTCTTTTGCTCTCTCTTTCTCTGGCCTCTATATTTAAATTTATTTAATGTGATGCATTAGCCGGGATCCATAGGAGACTACCGAACGTCTTTTCAACAATCTCTCATGGAACATTTGGCTGATGGGGCTTTACAAAAGGGCAGGTCTACTCTGTGCCTCGAAATTCTAAGATTATTGAAAGGTTCTGCGACTTGTTAATAGTGGAACCTCCATAATGAACGATTATTTTTATAATAAACGTTTTCTTAAAATATATTATCTATGCCTAAACAACGATTATGACAACTTTTAGCACTTAATATTTTTAAACATACATATACACGATTAACCTATTTTTTATCGATTTATATAAGCATTGCATTGAATTCGATATTAGTTTTTAATTTCATTAAGTTAACAACTTTAGTCTTATCAAAAGTATTCGAAAATATCGTTAATAATATTACAATTAGAATGAGCGATTCATCGATGCTTAGTATCAATGGATGTTCTAATGATGAAAAAGAAACTTCTACTGAAATAATGCTAAAATCTAATTCCGTACACGCTTGTAATAAAAATGTTAAATATAAAAGGTGTCGAAATGGAAATGTTCGAGATTTACAGAGCTTGCAAACTTCAGTCTCGTCGAATGCTAGCTTTCAAAGAAAAAAGAGATCAACTACAATCAAATCTTTTCATCATAATCTTAAAAAGCCTTCATTACGTATGTCTTAATGTTTTAATAGTAAAAAAAATATTATTCACATAGGTATTCTATAATTCAAGTTTTTTTCAGATGAGCCCAGGTGCTTTAAAAACAAGCGGTCCACAAGTTCCAAAAGTCTGAAGCAAAAGATTTCATCAAACTATATTGTATTTTCTGAATATATTAAACAGAAAGTTCATAGTCTAGTAGAGCATAAAAATAATCAAAATCGAAAATATTGTAAACATAATAATGATATCCAAGTGCTATTCACATCCAAACCAATCAAAAGGCTTAGAAAGCGAAATATGTTTGAGCATAGCAGAGAGAAAGATAATATGTCCTATTATTCTAAGTCATCCGAAGATGTATTTGGACTTCATTGTGAGAATCAAAATTATCCCAAATTTTATAATTTAAACACATATCATTGCAATAATTTTTCAGAACAGACAACACCTCATACAACTCATAATTGGTCTTGTAGGATTGGTAAAAAACTTGTACACAATAATATTTCTCAAGCGCGTTCTAGTCTGCCAGTTGTTGCACATTATACTTAAGTTGATTTTCCACAACAGAAAAGTATAAATCGTCGTGAATTCAACCAAAAGCAGAGAAAGAATTGTATCAATAAAGCAACTGTTTTCAATGTACACGCTCTATTAGATCATCAAATATCGGTGACACCATCTTCTTTTCCTATATATAAAAAAGCCACTGGAGACTCCTTCTCGGATTTTAATACTTCAAAACTTGATAGAAACTTAAATAAAAATAAAGGGTCCAGGCAAAAAAAAGACTCCAAAGCACAGAGAACTATTGTTGTTTTTCCATCACTTCATTTGGAACATTCTTTTTTCATACTAGCCAAAAATATTTTTAAATATGTTTTACTTATTCTAGCAGTTGTGGCATGGTCTCCTTGTATAATATCAGTATGGACTTACTGGTTAGTGACTTATTTATTACGTCCTCCTTATAATGTTACTAATTCTACAGGTCATCTATATGGATCGTGTATTAAATGCAGTTTAAAATATGTTTGGCATTCATTTTCCATTCGCTATTTTGTATGTCAAAGAGAGTTTGTATCACATATAATGCACTAAACAATTTTTTAAAGAAGAACAAAGAGGATTCACAACACTTAAAATCGACATTTTTTCAATCTTTAAACAATCGAACACGGAGGATTCATCCAAATCCAAAAAACAAATATACACTTTATTTTAAGAGTCATAGAGGCTGGTTGGTCAAACCAGTGAAACGACGTCAGAAGGACAGTATTTTGAATAAACATTTTAAAAACCCAGAGAAAACACATGAAAAAGGCACTTATTGTAGATTTCAGAGTAATCGAATTTATAAAACGAAAAGTACTCTAGCAACGACATCTGGAATTAGAAATGAAACAAGAGTAAAAAGAATGGCCAGAAAACGTTCACTTAATTTACTACCACCTAATAGATTTTATACGAAATCTATGACTAATTTATTATCTTCTAAAGAAGTTACTCATACAATACCAAAATGTAAAGTGGAAGGAGAGATGAATAAATAATGTACTCTTATAATTGGGTCTATTAAAAATATTACTCATAAAAATGACATGGCAAATAATCACGTGTCAATTCAAAAAAATTGCTTGAATTGTAGGAAATAGGAATATTACCGTTTTACATTATGATGAAAACAATTTTAGATGTTTCGTTAAGAACGCTCATTTTTATGTACACCAGCGTCCGAACGAAAAAAAAAACAATAATATTTGTAGTAAAACAAAGAGTAAAAATTCATGTTTTTGTCGCTATAAACTGCTCGGGCCCTCTCAGTCTCATCATAATATAGAATGTGTTTATCACAAAAAATCTTTCAGAAACTCAACCAGATCGAAATATCTAATTGTTTATGTTTCTAAAAATAATCGAAGTCAACGTTTGAAGTGCTCTCAATGTAAATGTAAAAGACAAAAAGTATTATTTTGATGTAAAACACTTCATAGAAATATTAAAAACGTTTTATGTGATGCTGTTCATCAAGTATGGACAACAAATATTTGTAATGATATGTATATTCAGTCTTTACAAAAAAGACCATGTTTTTGAATATATAGATGCTTCTGCTTATCCATACTTTCTATTATGTTATAGGTTTTACGAAAATATCGTCTTTTATATATTGTTTGTTCTCGCTTCTTGTATTTGGTGCGTTTTATTGTGTTCGTGTTATTTTTGTTATTCTATATTTTGCAATTGCTTTACATAAAATAGGTATATTTAAAAAATAACAATAACTGCATTTTTTAAGGCTTACTTGAACCGGGAATCGAACCAAATAAAAATGCAAAAAGAACACCGTCACTATTTTCTCGAATTAATCGATAGGGTGATAAGATAAATGGATGGTAAGGAAAAAATTTCTCGAACAAACATTGCGTCTTAGTATTAAAGAAAATGATGAAATCTTACAAATTATACATATCGACTCAAACATCGTGAAACAAATGCACAGGACATGGAAGAAAAGTGTCTTAAATACTGAAAATATTAAGTTTCACCCAAAGGGAAGATTATATTATTTTAAAAAATAAGATTACCGTCGCGTCGGGGCGCCGTAGTTGAATGCGTAAGCGATCCTGCGACGCCCCGAAAGGTTTTATTGGTTTTAGTGGGTAGTATTGGCTTTGCCGGTGAGTCCCACACCTCGTGCGTAAATGCGTTTCCCAACGTTAAAAAAAATGTACCTTAAATGAGGATTAATAATAGTTATTGAGGATATTTTAGCTTATTTGACTTCATAAATTGTGATGAAACCTGCTTATCTAAAGAGAATCTAACATATTTTCGAAAAACAAGTTTGACAACCTGTACCTACTTGTGTGTGACGGTGTATCTTTTTGCATTTTCAGTTGGTTCGATTCCCGGTTCAGGTAAGCTTTTTCAAAAAATATAATGCAGTTATTACTATTTTTTTAAATAAAGAAATCATTCTTTTGAGTTTATCATAATAACTTGATAAGTTATTGTAATATTTACTTTCAAGTTTCAATATAGTATAAGGTACAGTAAAAGTTTCATCTAAATCGATTTGGTAGATAGTTTTATCGAGTAACTATTAATCAATTTAGGCAATCGGAAATGCTTCTTTAAAATCGGTTTTGTGTAAGTTTGGCAAAAATGATCGGGTCCCTCCCGATCATTTTTGCCAAACTTAACGTTAACACCGGTAGTTTTATTTAAAAAGGTAAGAGCAATTTACTACAAGATGTCAGATAATCTAATCCATACTAGCTACCCAATACCAACGCAACTTGTCTTATAAATAGATTTCGAGACAGAGATACGTTTTTCTATCAACTAGACTTGACTTTAAATAACTGATAGCCTATGAACACAAGTCATACTGGAACTAGCTGAATTGACCAGATTTACTTAATAATATACAGAAGAATTGCCTTAAAAGAATGCTTTGTATGCAGTTTCGGTGGAAGCTGAAAACAAAGCTTTTATAAAATGGTGTCGTGGTACACCAGATAGGAACGAAATTCATAAATGGGTAGTTTTCATCAAAATGTTATTTTTTGCAAAAAAATTACCAATTTTTTAAACCTTCGTGCAGATCTAATATTTTAAGCGTAGTTAATTGTTTTGTTGATAGTAAGCAGTTTTATCAAGGAGGCATCCGAAACTAAGGACTAGTTTTCGAAAAAAATGACATTTAATAAATTTTGCTGTTACCGATAATGACAATTTGTGAGAATAATGAAATTAGTGCGGAGGAAAATGATGCTATGTTACTAATAATGACAATTTTATTACCTTCGATATGAAAATCTTTTTTAAGACCTATTGTAACTTCTATGAATTCAGCGATTAATCTTACGTATATTATATAATACTAAAGATATTCTTAGAAAAAAAAATACATATTTAGTAGAAATACGTATCTTTGGACATTAAAGACTTATATTATTAGGAACTTGTAAGAATCTACCTACTTACTTTAAATCAAATGTTTGGTTATTAGTCTAAATTACAACTCTAAAACTCGAATTAAGGGGACTTATAAAATTCTTACAATAATGTACAAAGCGAAAATACAAATATTGTGACAGACGTTCTAAATTTTCGTAAGACTGTTATGATTTCTATGAGGCACAATAAAAAATCACAATCAAAATGAAGACACAAGTATTGCTCAAAACAAATATAAATACATATAATTAAGAGTAAATAGAAATAGAAATCATTTAGTGCGAATTTTGTGATATTCTAAGAAAACAAGCAGTCTTGAAAACATAAATTAAAATATAATAAAACGAGCCAAAAAATCATCAACCGAACAGAAAGGCACTATTTTGATGGGATTGTTGATCTTGTCGGATTTTGTTTTTGCTAGAATGGTTACATCAAGATGCTTAGAGATGCGTCTTGAATTTTTTTAGATATATTGATGTCATTTATCGTTATATCAGAGAGAATTGTTACTGTTCAGCTGCGGGATATTATTCTTTAACTTAGTTATCAGACAGACAATAATCTGAACGTCCTGGGCACATCCAACAGAGTTACCCTCAGATGGGTCCCGGGTCACTCAGGCATAGATGGGAATGAAAAGGCTGATGCATTGGCAAGAAGGGGCGCTGAAACCCCAGATGTGGCCCAGAACCATTTTGTGGTATTGCAAAACAACATGCCTATTCAATTCCCAAAATTCACTGCAATCGCCAAGCACTTCAAGAGTGGCAATCCACTTCTGGACAAACACACTCTAAAGCGCTAATTAAGGGATATCTCAAAACGTTTACAAAATAGTTGCTTCAACTCAACAAGCATAAAACCAGTGCAGTAACCAGAATACTTACTGGTCACTGCAAACTTAATAAACATATGTTTACCCTCGGCCTCAGTCAGGCCGCAATGTGCAGACTCTGCCATGAAACAGAGGAAACTGCTATGCACATCCTCTGCTCGTGCGGTCCACTCATGCACCGCAGAAGTATCTATCTAGGGCAGCATATTATGCAACCGGAAGAGATACAGATGCTCCCCGCTCAGAAAATCTGGAAGTTCCTGGAGTCAACAGGACTAAGCGGAGAACTTTGAACTCATTATAAAGGGAGCTACAATGGACCAAAACTGGTCGACGTAGCTAGGGCCGACCTCGGCACCACACCCAACAAAATAATAATAAATAATAGTTATCAGACAAAATATATACCTACTTATTCCTATACTAGGAGGATGGTGAATCCGATAAAAAATGTATGGTATCAATAAACGGGTTTAATTTAATCACTTCCTCTATTAAAGGTATTAAATGACCCCACACAGCTGGAGCATCATGGCTTAAACAATCACTTATTGTGCACGTGGAAGTTGGTCAAACTTGTCCAGTAGAAAAATGATGTATGTAGATAACTGCAGTATGCAAGGAAACCTGCTGCCTATTTCCACCAAAGTGGATCAACTTAACTTCTGCTCCATATTTCAAGGCATAATTTTCAGAAAAGTCGACATGTACTAATGCTTCCTGAATATTTAGATTTTCATTAAGATTCTTAATAGCTTTGTATTGGTTCATAATTTTATAGTTGCGTTCCAAAAAAATTTGGCAAATCTCTCTTGAATTTATTTAATGCTTCTATCGTCGTAATGAGCACAAACAAGTACCTCTGTCAACTTTTTTCCAAAAAACTACCCAGAAAGGCCGCAGCATTTTAAAAAAAGAATGGGTAATTCTAATATTCTGAACTTCCTGCAGAAGTCCGAAGTCCTTCAGTGGTAAATACAAGAACCTTTCTTGCGTACGAAAAATTCTATTTAGATGATGTCAAATAGCATCTCTTGTGCTGACAAGCAAGATGCTATTTGACATCATCTAAATAGAATTTTTTACACGTTCGCTTATAAAAGACCTTACACTGAGACAGTTTTCTGATTATAGGCTAATTTCGGAACAGTTATTTTCTAGAACTGGTATGTCATTTTCTGCCTCCATTTGTGTCTTCTCTTGTTCGTTGAGTTGCTTTATTTGTTTTTGAATTTGTTTACAACGAGCTTTATCCCTTTTATTGTAAGCCGCGATGATATTGACTAATTTTTTCTTTTTTTTTAATTCTACGTAGCGAACTTTTCTTATAGCAGCATCATTCTTAAGCGAAGGATCTCCTTCAAGATCATGCGTAGAAATGCTTTCACCTTGATTACCAGTAACGGCAACTGCTTCAAAACTTGGTGTCTTATCTTATTTTTTATTTTGTCGATAGCTATTAAAACTGTCATGTTAAATTTTTCTTTTTTTTCGCTTAGTGGGTCATGTTAATTACTTGAATAATTTATGAATATTGACAATTGAGAAATTATGTAAAACATAACGCAGTAACTAGAAATATGTCATGGAAAATATAGTTTTAAGTATAAAATTAAACTGAACGAATTTTCGAATTTTCTTTCCACTACTTTCTTTCTGTGAATGCGTGAAGTTTTTTTCGAAATACATTTTACATTTTTTGCTTCTTTATCTTTTAAATACTTCATTCTTCTTTTTTCTTTTGCAAGAGCTAGTAATTCCGGGTCATTTTTAATTTTTGCATACCGCCTACGTTTGACAAGTCTTTGTTGAGCTAGTCTTTCTACTTTAGTTTTCCTTTTCTGACCCATTTTGGAATATTTACTACAAACAAAAGTGCTAGCACAGTTGTGTGTAGTTTGATTTCTTTAACTAATTTAATCTCTGATAAGTACCTGCAACAATATAAAACAGAGTGATAAGACACCCAACATATAAATAAAAACGTTATCGTTGAAACAAAAAGGAGCAAGAACTTTATATTCTAAGTATCGGACATAATTTGGACAAAAGAGTGTAGGAAATAAAATTGAGGATGAAGTTGATCTCTTCCTTTCCATGATTATTATACGACGAAAGCTAGTAAACAAATATGAAGGATTATGTTCAGGTTTTAAAAGGAAAAAATAAACATAACCTAATAGTTAACATACGTACCTGTAAAATTATGTAATTTTGTCAAAGTGTAGCTGGAACTAAAACCTAAAATGACACTTTCATCCAGCTAATCCTATCTGCACATCAATCTAAACGATCAAAATCATTGTTCTCATCAGTAATCATTGTCGTCTAATTACATCGTCATTGTTCACAACATGCGTCATTGTCTTCTTCTCCATTTTTACAGACAATGACGTTGCAAATAATGATGTTTTCACAAAAATCATGTAAAAACATATTAAAAAGCGTATACACAGAAAACATTATTATGATCATTGAACAGTTACTCAAAAGGTAACTTAGATATTTAATTATGCTTATAGAATCAATCCTGAATTAAAAGTTAAGATTAAAAAAACAAATGACGATTGAAATGACACAATTAGGAGAATCAAATTCAAGACTCACCAGTTGGAAATCCAACACGCGTATCCCGTGTAATGGCTGCCAGTCGAATGAGGGACTGGGTAGTTGGTTTAAATCACGCAAAACATAGCGTACGAATCCTTCCGTTTCACGGCACTTTATTAAACAATATATGGAGCGACTAATGACGTAAATTTTATAAACTTTTTTTGATAACATTTTTGAGTAATTTCCAGTCATATTTTTTAAACATTTTATTAATATAAAGTTGAATTATATCAATGTCAAACACGAGCTAGTTGAAATAATTTAATATGAATTGAATAATATTTTTTTTTGTGAGAAAATTCCCGAGAACCACGTAAAGCGACATGCAAAATAATGGAATTTTTGATAGTTTTTTCTTAATATCTTTTTTTTTGTTACTTCTACGTAAATGTGACTAAGATTGCTTTTTAAGTATTTATTTAAGTATACAAAACAAAAGTAGTTTTTGAAAAATATTAAGTCATTGAGGAGTATTATCGAGAGACACAAATTTTTAGCCTCTAGAATATTCACCCAAATATTCATTTCCAGTTCCAGTCGAGTTAAAAACTAAATAATTTTTGGGGCATTTTTTATTATGATTTTTTTATCGATAAAAATAAAAAAATGCTTAAAATTTTCACAGTAGCAAGTATTAAATAAACAAAAGCGAGAGTTCTTGATGTTGGAAAAATTTATGTAATCTGTGGTTATTTTGTCTCTGACGATGTGTCATTTTATCACGATTGTCATTTATGACAAGTTAAACCTCAAATTTTCATTTGACATTCTTGTTATGGCAGTTGTTTGTTTGTATTTAAAAATAAATTATAGAATAAATTGATTAAGTCAATTTTTAACAAATTCTTTTTTATTAATAACTTCTTGGTTTCAACGTGTGTCGTCTAATATAATAAGTATAACACAAAATATTAAATTATTATTTAAAATGCAATCAAGTGAGAAACGTACTAAAATGTTGGATTTAGCATCCTTGGAGCCGGCTACAAGGGTCAAACAATTAGCAAGTTACGGAACCGTGGTTGAAGTCGACCCCAATGTCCCACCAAGAAGGTAAAGTTTACAGTTTGAAAACCAGTACCTAACATAGTTATTTAGTTTTGTATTATGAGTCATTAGGTATTCCCTTTACTATAAATAAATTTAATGCGATTAATAGCACTAATCCTTGTTACGTCGTCGTATGTACGTCATTTTATTTACTGTAACAAAAAGGACTAGAAAATATAATTTGAAATAATGTTAATGTCATTGTTTTGTAGATATTATAGATCAGGCTTGGAAATGGTGAGAATGGCGAATGTATATTTAGCAGAGGGCAGCTTTGAAAATGCTTACATTTTATATATGAAATTCATGACATTATTTGTGGAGAAAATTAGAAAACATCCAGAGTATAGTACAGTTCCTTCTGAAGTTAAAGCAGTAAATCAATCAATGTTAAAAGAAGTAATGCCAAAGGCTGAAAAATTAAAGCAGAAGCTACTAGAACAATATAAAAGAGAACATATACATTATTTAGAGAATGAGGTAAAGTTATATTTTTATATACCTAGTAATAAAATCTAAAAACCAATATGAATTATTTTCTTAAAAAAATATTTGAATTCTGATATTTGTTATATATATAATTGTCATATGAAAAATGTTTAACTATTTAGGAAAAGAAAAGAATAGCTGAAGAGGCAAGAAGAAAACAAGAACAGGAAGATGAAAAACTTGCACAGCGCCTTCAAGCAGATGAAAATAGACAAGATGGGCACAAGTCTACACCTCACCTATTAAATGCTGTAATTTTACTGATTTATTATTTTAATTGATCATAATTACGGTACATTAAAATATATGTTAACTTGCTGAAGCATTAACTGTACAAAAATTCCAAAATATCTGAAATCTGAAAAATCTGGTACTTCTATGGTCAAACAATGGTTAGATTAAATTATGAAATTAAGAAAAGGGCTGCTAGATGTAAAAAAAACATCTGAAGAAATGAAAAAAAGCATCTTGAGGTATCTTTGAATAGTTTACATAAGAGGATTCTTCAAGAAGATTCACTTCTTTCGATTTTGTTTGTTATTATTACTAAATAGAATGTTTTTTTTATAACCATGTATGCAGATATTAAACTGAACATTGACTAAAGGAACCATAATATTGTCATAGAAACAAAAAACTTTAAATTAAATTATAGTTAACTTTCTCATCTATGACTACTTTTATATAAAAATTGTATCTCATAAAAACAAGAAATAATATTTAAGAGTTTTTCTATTTTAAGATGATTCTCATTGATAACCTTCAATATAACTAAATAGTATTTCAATATAAAACCAGGAGTTATCTAATTGTATAAATTGTAGGAGGACTGGGCAGTAACACCAACTGCGCCACCAGTGGATGGAGTATTATATCCAGATGATTTTGCGACAGAGCCTCCCCGAGCACCACCACACCATTACCACCCCACACCACCACTCATACCACCATCGAGACCACAGTAATTTATTTATATTTTATAGTTATATCTACTGTTTGTTGGAGATTCTTGTGGGTTGGATTAGTTGTGAAATGTAAGAAAAATATTGTCCAATTTTTTGGTGTCTTTGCTCATTACTTTTGAGGGTTAGAGTTGTGATGTTAAATGATATATTTTTTAAATAAAACTTTTTTAAGCGTGACTGAGGGGTAAGTTAATACATTGGAAAAATGAGTGTCATGGAAGTGAGAGTCAAATCAATTATTAATAATTTAAAAAAAAACACTAAGTATATTTATGTAATAATTATCATTTATTAAAACATATTATTCATGAATAATAATTTTATAATATTGATTACATAATATAAAAATGAATGTATATTACTAATAATTTTCTAAAGAATATTATATTTATATTTTGATTTGTTTTAAATATAAATTTAATTGTGTTATCTGTCACAGCTCTAAAGAAGTTTTACTTCAACCGCACATAAAGGTTGACACTCAGTCTTTGTGTAAAAGTAGGTAATTAAATAGAGGAAAAGAGGGGAAAAAAACTTTAACATTATATTTTAATTTGATTAACATATTTAAACTTACATTTTAACTTGTAATAGATATGTCAATACAAAATTTTAAAAGTACATATGTAAATGAAATTTGGATTATAAAAGAATTCATTACTACCTGATCTGATGGAGTGGATAGTTGAGCATTTTAATGACTACTGATAAAACTTTGCAGCTTGGGCTCATTTGATTTCTTTTAAAGAGTCACATTACAGCTAGCCAAAAGTATATTTTTATTAGTCTTTAAAACAACAATTTCTGTTTAGTGACGCAGGCATAAGCGATTACCTCCCATCTCATATTGGGGAGCGTAGGTTGCGTATGGTGATGGTCCCAGCGGCACTACTACCGAAGTTCCTCGCGCTAGCCGCCTCTAATACTGCAAGGAATATCGAGTTATGTGGTATCCTTGCAGGAATTTTGGTAAGCTATAGATATTTACAAGGATTTTTATAAATAAAGAAATCTGCATAATATATCAATTTTTTTTAATTACATTTAAATTTCGTTAACTTTGAATTTTCTAACATACAATTTTATACTTTAAATAGATGTATTAAATTCAGCCATACAATGTTGTACAGTACTGGTTTATTATATATAATGTATTGACCTAATAAAAAGCTGTCTGTGGTTTGGCCCGCGAGTACTGAATTGGGGGTCACGTTACTTTGTGTTGTATGAAAGTTCTGTTCGGAATTAAAACTATTATATTTGACGACACGTTTAGTTCAGTTTGTAGTGACCCCACTCGCTGTGCCAGCGGTCGCGGGTTCGAATCCCGCTGGGGGCATTCATTTGTGTGATGAGCACGAATGTTTGTAGTCCAGTCATGGGTGTTTATATTTATAATATTATGTATGTATTTAAAGTTATATATGTGTAGTGTATCAACTATCTGGTATCCATAACACAAGCCTCATAGCTTACCATGGAACTAGATGGTGCTGTATGTTAATGTCCCGATATATTTATTATTATTAATAACTTTTAACAGCTTTAAGCAATGTTCAAAAAATCAGAAAAAAGTGTTTAAACCATACATACATAATAATACAACCATAATCCAACATATACAATTTTGATGCCTAATATATGCATGTATAAACAATCTTTCAGGAACGAGATCAACTTAAAATAACACACGTAGTGGTGCCCAAACAAACGGGTACGGCGGACTCGTGCAGTACTAACAATGAAGAAGAGATTTTCCACTACCAGGACCAACACAATCTCATCACATTGGGCTGGATACATGTAAGATAATAATAATCCTGACCGACTACTAATACCAAACTCTGGGAGGTTACTGAGAATTTTTTAACAAAGAACCAATAACAATACTTGGCACGATCCGGGATTCGAACCCAGGACCTCAGGATCTTCAGGTGTACATGCTAGCCACTAGACCACCGAGGCAGTTATGTAAGATACAATAACAATAACTTCCAGGCCGGTTCCGGTCACGGTGGCTTATTGCTATCCCTGTCCCTGCCGCTCCCATACTGCGTGAAGGTGACGGCACTCACGTCACATACGTATATTATGTATAAACTAGCGACTTACCCTCGCTTCGCTCGAATGCGTCACTAGGTACGCAGATTTGGTTCACAATTTCATGGGTTTTCATTTTATTGCGCGGTACCCTGATTTTTTTTTCTAAAATAAAAGTAACCTTAGTTGCTCCTTATAACATAAGCAATCTGCCTGAAAATCTGACAAAGTCGTTCCAACCGTTTCGGAGATTAGCCGGAACAAACAGACAGACCATGAACGAATAAACCACTGGACCAGACATATAAGCGGACGTACCTTTAACGGTCATGTCAGTAACCAGGGAATTTTAGCCTAGGTCGTTTGTTTTTTGTGTCAGTCTCAAGCACTTACTTGTCAACAAAACATCTCCCAAAAATGACTAAATGTTCTGTTAAATGGTGTAAAAACTATAACGGCGGAAGCAGCACTATTTCTTTTCACTTGTAAATACATTATTTTATTACATTTATTGTTATTTATCACAAAATTTAATTAAATGTAAAATAAAAATTCATATTATCCAACTATGTTAAATATAGTCGATATTTCTATGTATTGTTGACATCTGACAACCATCATAAACGGGCTGGATTATACCATTCAGAACAAATGACAAAACTGTCGAGTGAGTCCATTTGACATCGACTAGTGCTTGACAATGTCGAAAAATATATCGATATTTGACGAAATAACTGAACGAATTGTGTTATTTGTACAGTACAATAACATAAAATACTTTTATCACAGTATCCTACAATCTGATGACAATAAATTTATAAAAATATTTTCTAAATCAAATATAAATGCAAAAATTATAATTAGTATGTGTACTTAATTTTTTATTTTATTTTATACCATATTTATATACTTTGGAATATTATTCCATTGTAATAATAATAAAGATCATTTTATTTCAACACATAAATTACACAAAATCAAACAATAATGTTTTAGCACTAAACTTCTAGGTTGGCGATTTGTAATAAAACACTTTACCACTTGCACTAATTATTTTACTTTCACGATTCAACACTCACTTTTTCTTTTTCCTTATTTCACAAATGTTTATTAATAACTGAGCAATATTAGGACAGTGTCACATTTTTATAACTACCCGAGACAATCAATTGCCAATTAAAATAGTTCAATAACAGAATCAACAAAATCACTTTATTTAATTAAATTAGCTTAATATTTTTTTAATCTTTACAAAATAATATTTATTATATATTAATGGAAAATACACCAGATATTCATCTGTTTATTAACATTATTATAGGCCAACAGAATGTTGCCATCAATGCCATCGTATTTATATAAATCAAATTAAAAAATAATTATTATTTGACACATTATTATTGCCTCTTTAATTCATTTATTTTAATTTATTATAATAAATACAGATATTTTAAATTAAAAGATGTAAAATATGATGACTATGCTAACCAATGTCTAAAATGTCATTCATTGGTTCATCGATATATGTATTTTGTCGATTACGTTTAAGCACTAGAAATATTGTATTGTGTATCAGTGTTTATAATAATGTAATAAAATCTTTGTGTGCGTTATGCGTCACTTGGTTGAACTAGTTTTCATACATTTGTATTTTATGTCAGGTCCAGTCTCTAATTCGTCCATGAGACAGACAGACAAAATTTTTAATAATTGTTTTTTTTCTTATAGTACCGTATATACCTACTTTCATATGCATTTAGTAAAAAGCTGTTATTTTGACATTACAAACAGACACTTTTATTGATATCTTATAAATTATAATTAAAATATTGAGATGAGGGAAGTTGTACAAAAGGGTAAAATTGCGCGTACGATTTTAATGAGATTTAAAAAGGCTCGATATAGCACTTATTGGAAACAAGTAAATGAAACATTAAAACGAAAATTATAACTATGCCAGTTTTTTTCTGGCTTTAATTAAATTTATTAATGTTTAGTGTAAAAATTTTCTTTCTCTTTATAATATTATTGTAGGTTTCAAATAATATAATCTATACTAATATTATAAAGGCGAACCCGAGCGAAGCAAGCGTGAGTCGCTAGTATATTATATATAATATATATAGAAAGTAATATTTAATAAAGTAATAAATTAATATTATATATAACACGGAATTACGCCTTATCAACTAAAAGTAAATGAATTATTACTGAATTTCATAATGAATTGAGATATTTTAATTTAAATAGTTTGACAGATCAAAATAATTTTAATTGATAATTTAAATCAAATAATTTTATGCAAAAGTGGTAACGCTCTCTCTTGGAACACCGAGGGAAGCTGGTTCCATTCCCGGGTTTTGGACCTGTGATATTCATGAGAATATCGCACATAAGTGTGAATAATTTTTATCATGCTAAGCACTTGTCTTACTTGCCTTGTCTTAGGAAAACATCGTAAGGAAACCTGTATATTTGAGAGGACCTAGCAAGTTCTCGAAAGACCGCCAACACGCATTTTGCCAGCGCGGTGGACTATGGCATGAAAGACTGAATACTATTTGATACAACAATTTAACGTGAACGTTAACATTCCAGACGCACCCGACGCAGACCGCGTTTCTCTCCTCAGTGGATCTTCACACGCAATGCTCTTACCAGTTGATGATGCCGGAGGCTATCGCCATTGTCTGCGCACCTAAATATAACGAGTATGTTTTATGTGCCTTTAAATAATAATAATGATCGGAATATTATAATGTGTTAAATGTGTATGTATATATAATAATCGGACTACTATTCTAAATGCGAACGTTTGTACACGTGTGTTTACCGAAACGCTCCATTATATGAAAACTAAGAAATTATTATTTTCATAACATACTTTAAAAAGTGTGTCTGAGATTAGTTTTTTTTTTTAGTTAAAAGCATCAATCAAAATGTACTAGATATACAATCCCTTGCTAAAGTTCTCTTAAAACTGTCACAAATTATTGTGTTTAGATAATTATTCTAGTTGAAATAAATATACAACAATGTAAATTGAACCTTAAATGCAATGCTTAAAGTTGCTTTTACAAAAAATAATAATCAAAAGTGCGCTCAAATGTTGAAATGAGCGCATATTCAGCTAGGATATTTTTTGCCGCTGATTGTGTGTGTACCTAGTATTTTTTTGATCGATGCCTGGAGTGACAGGCTAATTTTAGGCACCTCTGGATCTACCCGACTAATACTAGCAACTATACATCTCGCTTGTTTAGTCGCTAGTATACAATACATATTTGTTTGTGTGCGAGTGTAGGGTTTTTTGTGTATAACATGAGATATATTCGCTTATCGTGAACGTAATTTTATGATTTTTCTTTTAAGGGCGCACCGAGGCTGCTAAACGTAATTACAAAATAATTGCGTTTGTTTGATCTGTTAGGGTCCTGGTGGACGTTAAAATAAAGAGTGGACTGTATAATATTTATATTTAAAGCTGGTACAATCGTCGTTTGTCGTTACAATGGAATAGGGAGGACGAATTTAGTTAATTGAAGTCGTCTTGTCGCCACGGGTCTCAAAAAGAAGTGAAGTGCTCCGTCATGTAATGGCCGCTCGCCGTGGCTGTCGATGGTGGGGCTGCGACCGCGGCCCGCCGGTATCCACTGTTGCGTTTTACGCAACATGCTCCCCCGGTTGAAGGTTGAAGTCTTCAAATTCTGGAAGGGGGCAGATATTATTAAAGGCTCTACGAATTGTCCCACATTTCGTTTTAAGCTCAACCACTCTAACGACGCCATCGCTCCCTGGGTAAAGTCTTATTACTCTCCCCATCGACCAAAGAAGAGGCGGAAGGGCTTTATCCTTAATAACAACAAGAGAGCCCTGTTTGAGTTCTGATTTCGACGATCTCCACTTTACCTTCGCCTGCAGCAAAGACACATATTCTAAGGAAAAGCGTTGCCAAAAGTGTTGCTTAATGAGCTCTATTCTTTTGTATCGTTCGAGAGCATTGATGTTGGTTGTTGTTATCTGTGGATGAGGTATAGTTATTAATGATCGTCCAATTAAAAAGTGAGCAGGAGTTAAAGGAGATAAATCTTGAGGGTCAGAAGAAAGTGGGGTGAGAGGACGGGAGTTCAAAATTGCCTCAATCTGCGTAAGACAAGTAACCATTTCTTCAAAGGTGAAATTAGTGAGTTGTAGCAGTCTACGAAGATGGTGCTTAGTAGAGCGAACGGCTGCCTCAGCTAATCCATTAAAGTGTGGACTATAGGCAGGCACAAATTTAAATTCAATACCTTGCTGTGCAATACTACCTTCTAGGTCTGAATGGGCCAGGAATTTAGTTAATTCGTTATAAGTGCCGACAAAATTGGTACCGTTATCAGAAATAATACTTGAAGGTATACCACGGCGCGATATAAAGCGATTTAAAGCGGCTATATATGCAGTTGTCGATAGTGCTGTAACAAGCTCGATGTGACAGGCTTTGACAGCATTGCAAATAAAAATTGCCAAATAGCATTTATTTAATTTACAGCCTCTCCCCTTTCGGTCCGCTATCAACACTGGCCCAGCGTAATCCACGGAACAATGTAAAAAAGGGAATTCTAATTCCGTTCGGGATGCAGGTAACTGTCCCATTATAGGCTGAATGCTTTCGGATTTATATCTGCAACATCGAACACATTTATTAACAATAGACTTAGATAAGTTCCTGCCACCTAAGGGCCAAAAGGTTTGCCTTATGTTTGCAAGCAGTAATTGTGGGCCAGAGTGTAAATATTTTAAATGAAAATAATGAAATAGAACCTTGCTAAAATGATGCTTACTACATATTAAAATAGGATGCTTAGTGTCATAACAGTATGGGGAATTACTAAGTCTGCCACCAACTCGAATAATATCATTGGAATCTAAAAATGGTGTTAAAGAAGCAAGTCTATTCTTTTTAGGCAAAGTATCACCCCTTTTCAAAATAATGTATTCTTCAGGAAACATTTCTGATTGAACCTTTTTTATAATTAAATTTAAGGAATTCTGAAGCTCTGTTATAGATAAATAACCTTTTAATTTTATTTTATTTCTACAATTGTTAATAAATCTCTGTATATATGCTACTGATCGTTGTAAATAAGTAAATTTAGATGTATTATTAATTAAACGACATATTAAGTCAATGTTTAGAGTATTGTTAAGTACTAAAGAACAATTAAGCAACTCAGGTAAATCCTGATTCTTATTAAGATTGGGAGTTTTTGGCCATTCATTTTCATTTTTTAACAAAAATGTGGGGCCCGACCACCACAATGAAGAACCACTGATGGAATCAGCCTTCACCCCACGCGAAACAAGATCCGCCGGGTTATCCCTCGACGGTACGTAGCTCCACGTATGACTTTCAGTGCTCTCCTGAATTTCATTAACTCGGTTTCGTACGAAACTTTTCAGATGAAGCGGTGATGTCTTTAACCATCCTAAGACGATAGTTGAGTCACACCAGAATCTACAACTACTTATAAACAGTGTTAAAGAAGAGAGTACCTTCATACACAACCTTGCTGCTAGCAAGGCACCGCAAAGCTCGAGTCGTGGCACTGTCGTGGGCTTTATCGGCGCTACTTTATTTTTAGAGGTCAAGAGGTGTACTGTTACTAGCCCTGATTTATGTACAGAACGAATATATAAACAAGCACCATATGCTCGTTCTGAAGCGTCTGAAAAAACGTGAATTTCATAAATATTAGAATCACTAAAAACCCAACGTGGAATTTTTAATTTATTAAGAAAGGGCAAAGTATTAACGAATTCCAACCAATGATTTTTAATTTCATTTGAGACTTCGTCATCCCATGCATATTGCTTGAGCCATAGCATTTGCATTATCATTTTAGACTCCACTACGCAAGGACCCACAAGGCCTAGTGGATCGAAAATCTGACTAATGACTGAGAGTATGTGGCGTTTAGTAACTTTTTTATGAAGTTCAATATTAATTGAAAATGACAAAATATCCGAATCACACATCCAATTAAGGCCTAAGGTTTTAGAAGGAACATTTTTATTACTTTCTGAAAAATTGAAGACATTATCCGTTTTAACATCACAAGGAGATAATTGTTTTAAAATTAAATTACTATTCGATTTCAATTTTCGTAAGTTGAACTTTGCCGACTTTAATGTGGATATTACTCCCTTGCAAAGAGTAATGGTACCAGAAATAGATGAACTTCCGCCTAAATAATCGTCCATATAAAAATCCCTTTGTATGGACTGCCTCACCTCATTATTTGGTGCACTAGATGCTAAACTAACTAGACATTTTGTAGCTAGATATGGCGCAGATGCTGTACCGTACGTCACAGTATTTAAAGTGTAAGTTTTTAGAGGTTGTTTTGTATCATATCTAAATATTATTTGTTGAAGACAGCGTTGAGACGGATTAAGTTCAATCGCCCTATACATTTTTTCAATGTCGCCAGTAACGACATATTTATGTTGACGGAAACGAATTAGGATGGAATAAAGATCGTCTTGTACAGTTGGACCGACCATTTGGATGTCATTTAGTGAAATACCAGACGATGTGGTCGCTGAAGCGTCAAAGACTGTACGAAGTTTTGTGGTAAGGCTTGACTCACGGACGACGCCGTGATGGGGTAAAAAATAATTCACCTGTTGAGGATAGCTTGATGACGACTGACTATTTTCAGTCATGTGGCCTAGAGATTCGTATTCCTTCATAAATTCGATATAGCGAGTCCTGTAAGCAGGATCTCTTGCAAACTTACGCTCTAAAGATAAAAAACGACATTTGGCCTTATGATATGAATCGCCTAAGACTGACGGATCTTCCTTCAGTGGCATTGAGACTACAAACCGGCCGTCACTATTTCGTGTAGTATTTTCAAAAAAATGCTGTTCACATGCGCGCTCCTCTGGGGATAATGAGTACTTAGATGCTACCGTGTCTAATTCCCAGAAACGAGACAAGTCTGGGTTCGATTCCTCATTTAAAAAATGACATATTGGAGTAGAAGAGTGTACCTTAGGACGGGCTATATACCCTGACACCAACCAACCTAATTTTGTATCATATAGTTTAGGTAGATTTTTACCTAAATCTATAGAATTTGACTTTAAGACTGACCAAAATGTATGGGCCCCGAGTAATATATCTACAGCAGCCGGCTCATTAAATGAAGGGTCAGCTAGACAAATTCCAGAAGGAAGAGGAATATTCTCTATATTTATAAAAGAAGACGGCAAATTATTAGTAAGCTTAGGTAAAATATGACAGTCGATAGTAGTTCTATAATCATTATAAAGTGATTTAATAGTAAGACTACATGACTGTGTACTTTGAGAAATATGATTATTTATACCGGTCACCGTGGCGCTTGTACTATGTCGTGACAAACCCAACTTGCCGCAGAAAGACTCCGTAACGAAGTTGGCAGTGCTGCCATTGTCGAGCAGCACCCTGGCAAAGTGCTCGACGTTCATGCTGTCTACCACCTTCACTCGCGCTGTGGAAAGCAAGACGAGAGGAGGAGTAGTAAACTGTTTAGAATTAGTAGAATTAGCAAAATTGTTAATTGAAGTGATGGGCTCAGAAGATTCCGTTGAATGTAAATGTAAAAGTGTGTTGTGCCTTTTCTTACAATATTTACAAGGAACAAGATTACATCTATGTTCATTGTGACCTGGACGCAAACAATTAAGACAGACCTTGGATTCCTTGGCCTTTTTTATACGATTTTCAATAGAAAGGGACCTAAATGACTCACAATTAAATAAAAAATGATTTTCCTTACACAAAGGACAATTAAATGATGATTTATAGCCATTATTATATTTTTGTTTATTATTTTTAATTGAATTATAATTTAAATTTTGATTATTTTTGAAATCGGAAATAAAAGTTGATTTACAATTATCGTATTTTTGTGATTTTATGATTTTATTTTCCTGTAATGTTTCTAATAAATCTGCCCTATTGCTTAGAAAAGATATAAAAATGTCATATGAAGGTGGGTTATCCAGAGTATTTCTATGCGTTTCCCACTCTCTACGAGTAATACTATCTAGCTTATCAGCAATCATATGAATGATCAAAGTGTCCCAATACTGAGTAGGCTGATCCAATGTGGACAAAGCACGTAAATTTTTATTTGTAACATCTATGAGGTGGCGAATACTCTGAGAAGATTCTTTATGCATGTTTTCCACATTAAATAAAGCCTGAACATGATTGTTAACAAGTAACCTTTTGTTGTCGTACCTAGTGCACAATAATTTCCAAGCGTTCGCATAATTGTCGCCTTTTACATCTAAACTATCAATAATTAACAATGCACTACCTTTAAGAGACGCACGAAGATAATGCAACTTATTAATGTTATCTATATCAGACCTTGAGTGAATTAAGGAAATAAAAGTGTCCCTATACTCAAGCCAATGCTGATAATGGCCATGAAAGGTGGGCAAATCGATTTTTGGTAACCTTATACAATTATATTTGGAACCACCTGCCTGCGCATCTTCGAAACTTGCCGCAGAACCATCGTGAGCCTCACGTCGGTGGTGGGAAGGCTCGTCGCCAAGAAGACTGCGAGCCTCTGCCACCAGCTCGTAGTATACGTTTTCAAACTGCTCGCGTTCGTGGAGCTCGTTGTCAGGATTATCCGATAACATTTCGATGTCGCACTGTACTTGATCAAAATCAGCGTATAAGGTATTGAATTTATTAAATCTGCCTCCTAAATCCAATAACTGTAATCTACTTAGTTCCTTGGAACTTTTAAGTACATTTATATAATTACTAAAGATAGTTAATTTAGACTTTATTCCACCACGTTTTTTTATTAACTTATCTAACTTTGTTTCGGTCATAGTGATAGTAAGTGCGTATAAAAAATGAAGTAAAAGCAAAAAGATAAATCGTTAATATATTTTAAAGAATAAAAATGCAACAGCAAGTTAATTACGTAACTTCGAGAACAAAAGGCAAGCGAATGACTGCGAGCCGGCCGATCAGCCGTTAGCGATAAGAAGTTAACGGTAAAAAAAATCACAAGCAATTATATGCAGTTCTAATGAACTTATTAAGAAAAGAAACTATAAATGAGCAATATTTATATCATATATTATAATTTTTTACAAATTTTATTAGCTTGGGTGAAATTATTAATGGATAAAATAAATTGATGAGGTTTATTTAAATATATACTCGAATAATGCGTTAAGCAAATAAACTAATGCTATTGCAGTGTGAGAATAAAACGTAAAGACTTATATGCTTAAAGAGAAAAATGACGCAATAGGCTAATTTTGCATTTGTGCTTTTGCAATTTTGAAGCTAGGTATGAAATTAGGACAGGATGGAAAATAATTGGAACGACTCACTAATAATACCCATCCACTTGCGTGATGTTGGAAGTTTGTCCTTTTCTTTGTCTTGAGGTTTGACTCGTGGGTCCAAAGTTCGTGCGGCCGACCTCTAAACGACTTTGATGACGTCCGGGCGTGTGTAGATGCTATGCAAAACGTTCACTCGAGATGATGATCGATGATGAACGAATCTTGCCTGCTGAAGTCCACAATTAAGGCTCCGAATCTTGAAGTGTCTTCCCTTCTTCATATATTTACGCGACTTATAACGGCGAGAATCCTAAAGGACCATTGTTAGGGTCCTGGTGGACGTTAAAATAAAGAGTGGACTGTATAATATTTATATTTAAAGCTGGTACAATCGTCGTTTGTCGTTACAATGGAATAGGGAGGACGAATTTAGTTAATTGAAGTCGTCTTGTCGCCACGGGTCTCAAAAAGAAGTGAAGTGCTCCGTCATGTAATGGCCGCTCGCCGTGGCTGTCGATGGTGGGGCTGCGACCGCGGCCCGCCGGTATCCACTGTTGCGTTTTACGCAACAGATCCCTTGCTGTATTGTTATTACTAAAACTTTAATTTTGCAATTAATATGTAGGATATTTAAGGATTTATTCTATAAATCTTACACTTTAGAAACACGATTACTTGTGGTTTCCTCGATAGAAAAAAATCCAAAATGATCTCTAAAAAACAAAATAAACCCTCAGTACGGCGTAAATAACTTAAGGAAATTCATCAGTTTCTTAATAATAACAAAACTATACGTTTTCTATATCGTACACACTTTACATTTTCAAAATGTGTATTTGTTTTAATAATACGAAGGAAATACCTAAATTCGCACGCGTTCCGTCCATCCTAGCCACACTCCCTCCTGCCCGCTTTCGTCCTACTAAAATCAATTAGCGCCAAAAGCTCGGTGCCCTCTTAACGATAAAATCGCTCCATTGTATGAAAATTGAGAAATAATTATTATGATTACATACTTTAAAGTGATTTTGAGATTGGTATATTTTTAATTAAAAGTATTTATATAACATTAATTTCAATAGGACGGGCTACTTCGCGCTGACGTCAGACTACGGCATGCAGTACATAGCCAACTGTCGGCAGACCGGCTTCCACCCGCACCCCAACGACCCTCCGCTCTTCTGTGTAAGTTACTGCATAGTGTTTTTACAATATAATATTGGAAATAATCACGTATGTAAAGCTAGCGAGGCAAAGTGAACAGAATCTCTTAAAACTAAGTGTCTCTTAAAAATTAGTGCTCATTTAGTGCTAATTTAGTGCCAAAAGCTAAAATTTGATGCTCTTATATTTTGGCGGAAAATTAGAAGAGCATATATATACTGCTAACTAACTAGAAATTCGTAGTTACATTACAAAAATTTTCTTTTTTATAATTTTGGCATCGTTGTTTATATTTTCAGAGTGTGTCTCACATACGATTAGACGAGTCGGCGCCGGTGGAAATGGTGGACCTTAGAAGATGAACACTTTTAAGTGGTCTTTAGAAATGCCTTATCGCTTACGAAGCTTGATGTATGTACATTCGTTCATATAATACGAAATTATAAATAATAGTTATTTAACAATTAAAAAAAATAAAATATATACATATTTTTTGTAATTGATAATTACTGCGATTCATATATGTATGTGTAAATAAAGTAGATTTTTTTTATTAAATAACTATTTTTCACGTATTGTGTTATGTTTTACATAACAATATATTTAAAATTATTTACAAATTGGTTAGTTTATCATATTGTTGTTTGTCATTTTTTGTTCTAAAGTTCATTTATAAGAAGTACATTTATAATATCTTCGACGCGAGGAACTCGAAAGGACAGATATGGGAAACAGTGTGAATTGTACTGTATTATTAAAGACATAAGGTACAGTTTACATTGCAGGAAATAAACGTTAAAGCGTTTAAAATAATAATAAGTCATATTATTAAATATCTGTTTATGTTATTTGATGATGCATTTTTATGCACATACTGTTTTCATTTGCCATATTTTTCGTTAAATATAAGATTCAGGCTTTTTGTAGGAGATGTTTAGTAAATGTAATTCTTTAAATCGATTTAGATTTATGTATGAATGTTTGTTTGCGTTTTCAAAGTTTATTTGCGCTCGAGCTAATAATGATATCCTTCACAAAACAATAAATATTTATTTAATATTCTGTTATTATATAAACTAACTTATTATCAAGTTTATAAGTGAATAAATAATAAATATATAAGGAAATAAACATATTGTGTCTTATGAAATTTTTTATAAGCATTCAAATGCTGAAATAAAACATTTGCAAAGAGTTTAACTCTATCCTTCCCGTGTATTTTGTTTTTATATTTTAATTACACTTTATGCAATCTAAAAATATTTTGATAACTAGATATGGCATATCTTATACAATTTACTGCTAATACTTAACATTTCTGATATATACTGAGTGTTATTAATATCAATTATAGTATTCAATTATTTTCAAATTAAATTTAAGTAAATATTCAAATTTGTATATTTTAAATTACGAAAAAAAAAACGATCTAATTATTAACAAGTATAATGAACTAAGGCAACATTAGTAGTCGTTAGTTTCGCTGTCAATTTATAAAGATATGTGTTCTTGTAAAAAATAATAAATTCCTTCAAATTATAACAAATAAAACGCAGCGTAAAAATAACCTAACCCATATTTGAAATGACTACAAAAATTTAAAAATATAATACATAGATTTACGCGAATATTTAAAATTTTAAATAAAACAATCTTTTTTGGACTTTTTCGCGGATTTATTTTAATTTTTGGTTCCCGACGATTCGAATGTTTTACAGCAACCATGATCACGGGAGAGACTAAAGATGTCTCGAAGGTCATTATATGGTTGTAACAGACAGTACCTACCCACAAAATTATACATTGATGTCAAAAATACCAAAATGGCACAAAAGTACCTTACAATATTTGTAAATTTTTATTTTAATAAGGAAAATATACCAAAAAGATAGCTTGATATAATATAGATAGATTAATTTCAAAAAATATACTGTAAATATGAGTTAATTATATCTGCGTGTCATTGTTTGCGGAACTAGTAAATAACCTCACAACCAATGCGGAAAAACAATGGGATTGGGTTATAAATGGTTTATTAAACCTGCATGCGACAACGATAAAAAAAGTTCTTTTTGATTGTCTAGTTTGTGTATAGATGGCGATAGGTTTCGAGTGAGAAGTGAATAGAGCTGCGCCATTTATAATCTCATTCTCTAACTTCAGCAGTTATATCAAAATATTTTTTGTTAGCTTTTTTGCTCTGAAAGTTCTATATATATCACTTTTAAGTTATTCATTATTAATATATAAAACTTCTAACATATTATCAGCCGCAAGACTGAAATCCGACCAGTGATTATGTGTAATGTACAATATGTTTTGTTTTTAATTAATAATATTTTTAGTTAAATGTTTTATTAAAATATTAACTAAATATTGTTTTTGTGACTTGATCTCTTGTAAATATAGCTTTACATCGCGACCATAACTTCAATGTTAACTAATATGTTGAAAACCTCCAGTTATTATAAGAATAATATAAAAAATAAATGTCTTTAAAATACAATCGTATTATGAGTATTTTAATGAGTTTCAGCCATAGACATAAAGAGTGGACTGAGTGTTGCTTTGCCAGCCGTCCACTAAAAATGCCGGAAAGGCGCGACAGAGACAAAACGAATGTGCGGCCAGTCTTCTATATTAATTGAAATACAATTAATGAAGATAGATATTTATAACTATTTTACATTTAATTATAATATTATAATTTTCAATAATGTCATTTTTTTATTCCATTTATAAATTCAACTTGGAATAAAAGTCAGGTTATTGGCCGCACGTTCGCTAACTCTCTTTTTAAAGAGTGGTCTATTTCATGACAGTATTGCTCAGTCCATTCTCTACGCATATGGTTTCAATCAATAATAATAATTGACAGGTAACAGTTCAGCGTTCTCTCTAAAATAAATGAAAATTGAAATATGAATATATGAATTTGAATGATCACATTTTACTAATGATTAAAAATAAATCTCCGATAATCTTATTTTTTGTGACTAAGGCGCTCAAATACAGATAAACATATTTATGCTTCTCCTCCATTAAGATAACAATTGACGATTTTCGACGAATCGACAAGGGAATTAGCTATTTTAGAATGTTAAGAATAATTTCTGTTTTTGCATATAGAAGAGAGCGTGAATAAGAAATATAATCTTTTTTATACACTATAATTTACTTTGTTAATAAATTAAAAAAAAAGCTTTTGTCTATGATAATTGTTTTTTTTTAAATAGGTATATCGCTTTCATTCACGCAGCTTTAGTTATTACTTAAGACACATGTGTGATTCACTTTTTGTAAATAACTCCTTAAGTCCTTACAGAACTGGTGACGAGATTGTTGTATAAGATAGTTATATCTTATATGTGATTTGTATGGACCAATGTAAATAAAAGCGTTTTATTTAACATTTATTTTATTTATTGCACTTCATTATGACATGCAGCGTCAGTAATGCGAATCGTTCACAATCGAAGCATCTACTGTATACCTTATAATAGACACGATCGTTTCATATTTTTATTATTTTTAAAATATTTGTTTAATAGTTTAAATTAAAATAAATATTGCTAATTTACAATTAAATTTTGCTAATTAATAAATGATATAATATCTTCTCATATCACTTAATAAATAATATCTTATGAAGCTGAGTCTTCTTAGTCGACTATAGGCTACTTAAAAAAAATATTATGACTAAATATTAGTGATCAAATTAAAAAAAAAACGTGTATTTAGTATAACCACAGTCTATTAACCCATAGAGTTCTCTAACGAAGGCATCTATACAGGGCAATCGTGCGAGGCAGCGCTTTAACTTTAAATCCATATATATGGATTTTTATACTGTGACTATATTTATCGTTAAAGCATCGGTAGCGTCTGAAGAGCTACGCAAAAAAAGGTTACCTTGTGAGTATAATCTTATTCAGCACTGTGCAAGCTGAAGTGAACTCTATTGGATTATTGCTAGTGTTGCTTTTAATATAAATATTTTTGCAGAGTAAACCTCGTTAAATACTATTACCTTAGTACTATAACAAATAAATAATACTAACTAAAATATTTACTAATACATTTGAACATTATTTAAATAATAAATAATTTGCCTAAGAATTTAAGCGATTAATTAGTATGGGAAACCCAAAAACACGAAGTCCATAAAGCGGATTCACTATTTTGTATTGATACTTTCAATAATACTTTTATGATGACATTACAACGTACACAATATAAATTTATTTTATTCAATAACATTTATGTATCTCTAAGAATAACTAGAAAGCAATGTACATTCTACGGTTTATAAGGCACTCGGTGCATGACTTTAACATAACAGTAGGTATACTTATTGACTACATTATAAAATTTATTTTTATAAAAGAATAGGAATTATTAAAGTACTTTTTATATAAGAATAAATATGAATTAACATTAAAATTGCAATGACTGGATTCAATTATATATATTTTTTCATATTTTGATATCTTGACCTCTAAGTCTCTCTACTTAAACTATAGATTTAAGTCATGAAAATTATTTATAAGCAGGTTTTATTTTAACCAAAGTTTAGGTTATCAATAGATATTTGTATCGAATATTAAATTTCTAAAATCTCTATAACAAATTATCTATAATCAATTTAGAACCCATCACGTTATATTACAACGTTATAGGTATATTACTTTTACAATTTATTCGAACAGTCATCTGTCGTCTGTATATATATTTTTAAGTAAATCTTCTTATACAGATAATTGCTCTTTACTGCCCTAGGAACTTTCGAAAACATTTTATATTAATAAATCGAAAACAAACAGTAAAACGACCATAGCAACTTTTAGGAATAAATACTTAACGTATAGATAAATCTATGTATGTAACAACAACAACAATAGAAGAATATTTTTCTTAAATTCTCACAATGTCATTCACATTATTAGTTACAATGGATCTTGTTGTCTTGCGCTGTCATAGTTATACTTTTCTGTCACCATATATAATTCATCCATATTCCACATGTTGATTTAATTAGAACGTTGCTACACTATTAGGTACTTAAAGTATATATTCCTATTTGTATAATTAAAATAATTAAATATTTTTTTATTCATTTAAGTATAACATTTTTGTGTGCAACGCTAACTACAATTTTTGATTCAACCTCCATACATATATATTTGCATATAATCGAACGTACTTAAAATTAATACTAAATCTTATTAATAATTTATAGAAATGTTAATTATAATATTAGTTGCTGATACTTATAATAAATGCTATTACAGAAATTACAATTATTTCTAACCTCGAAGTATAAGATATAGCCGAGCTGTTAGTGTATTTCTTCGCTCTAGGCGACTCTACGCGAATTGTTTTGTTCATCATCCAATAATATACGTCAAGGAGTCCTTGGTCGTGTAGCTCGGGGCCAACTGTTTTTCTTATTCGTTCGTTGTAAGCATTTAACCAGGTTATCTGTGGAATAAGTTGAGCGTGCTATAATTTTATTAAAATTAGCAAGCCTCTGAAGGACTCGTAACTTACTGAGCAAATACGAATAGCTGATAACAAAAATTTTGAAGTGCTAATAATAACATTACTCAATGGTTATTATTTAGGTGTATATTGATAGATATTTAAAACACAATAAACACTCATAATGAACCTTCTATTTTTAATATTAATAAAAAATTCTAATAAGCTTTTGCTTTTTTTATCCCTATGCCACGTACCCGTACCGTATCCCACTACATATATAAAAAAAAACATTCTAACCTCATACTCTGTAAGTTGATGTTTATCAATTAGCTTAGGCTCAAATGGTATCAATGTAGCTTCTTGAAAACCGAGGTATCCTCCCTGTTGAAGAATTACTTCAAGAATGTTCCCTAATTTTATACCAAATTTATTTGTTTGGTACCATGCCGGCTCTGTAATGAAACAAATAAAGTGACATTTTTATTAATGTATAATATCGTTAGAGGAAATTAATAATTATTTTTTGTACTTACCACTAGTAATAAAATATCCTTCCCTAAACGTGTGTAAATTTGTATCCTGTCGGTAGTCGATAACAACTGGATCTAGAAAATATTGGATTACCAAGTTATTTTATACACAATAAGTAATGTATCCACTTTATAGATTGCAGTCAAAAGAAAGTGATTTTTGAAGATTTTATCTTATATTTTTTGCTATTAGGCCAACAAGTACTTTATTTTCGATATTACCTTCTCGTCGACTCAGAGCAGCTCCTACACCGTATCCTGTAGGATGAATATAATCTTGCTTGAATTTCCACAACGGTGCTCTCGCAACGGGGTCGGTGTGTGCCGCAGGTAGGGCCATGGGAGTTTGTAGCATGCTAAGTGCAGCCAATGATCTTAGCACACTAGTGTATGCTTTGCGTTCTTCGCGCGACGGTGTGCCGTAATGTACGGTACGAGTTACTACGGTTGTGCCCTCTGAAAAATGTGTTAATTTAAAAATAAATAAACAATCATTCTTCAACTACACTTAATTTAATTCCAAAGAAAATTATTTACATAAATATTTCACAGAGAGATCGATAGTACGTATGTGGGTAGATACGTACATATGTACGTATTTATATATATTCTGTATCACTACATAGTGATACAGAAAGATATTAGACAAAAAATCTATCTACTTTATACACTTATTAGCGGCTAAAAATCGCTTTGCTCGGGTTCACCTCTGGACAAACAAAAACAAATCTACCCTACGGGAACCGTAAATTTTTCCGGGATAAAAAGTAGCCTTTTTGTTATTGTGATGTATGAACTATATTATTGTAAAGTTTCATTAAGATCCAATCAGTAGTTTTTGTGTAGATACTAAACTGTATAAGTTAAGTTAGTATAGTTTTTTAACTATCCTACGGGATCTCTTTAATTGGGGATATAAGGTACTACCATGCAAAATTTTATTTAAATCGGTCCAACAGTTTCGGAGATTAGCCCGTACAACAGACAAACAGACAGAGAAACAAAAAAAAGACAAAATCTATATTTGTTCTATTTCTCTTCTTACATCCCCCTGACTCGGTTTTTAGCATTTTTTTTCTATGTACAGACATTTGACCTCTACAGTTTAATTATATGTATATACAAGAATGTTCAAATACAAATTGAGAATACCGTCATATTGTCCTCCAGATTGAATGACTAATGTGGCATTTGTAAATATTCGTCTATTTGTAGCATTAGTGGCTCTATACTCAGGTTCAGCAGCGTTCGGGCCAAAAGCGACGCGGGTCTGCATCGACAGGCCAACGTAACCAGCTTGGGTGGCGCGTGTTGCATCCACCGTCATACCGACTGTTTGTTCATTGAGATTTGTTTTAGCCTGCATTAAATATAATAATAAATAAATATGTTGGGACATTAACACACAGCACCATCTAGTTCCATGGTAAGCTACGAGGCTTGTGTTATGGATACCAGATAGTTGATACACTACGCATATATAACTTTAAATACATACATATTATAAATATAAACACCCATAACTGGAGTACAAACATTCGTGCTTATCACACAAATGAATGCCCCCAGCGGGAATCGAACCCGCGACCGCTGGCACAGCAAGTATGGGTGGGTCACTACAAATTGAGTCAAGCGTGTCGTCGATATGTCATTAATTATGATAATTTAGTCATTTTTATATTATAGTAGCGTTATCCCGCCGCTCCGCCCGTGTTAGTAGGTACGTTTAAACAACAAAGACGATTCGACAAATCATTCAGTTTTCCATATTCGTAATTTTTTGTAAGCTGATGTTTTTATTTTTTTAATAAGCTTATGTAAGTTTTTTAATGTTTCGTTAATTCAACATTAAAGAGCATTAATAGCTATTTTTATGTTAACTGCTCCCTGAAAATATTTTTACGTTACGTCCATTTGTTTGTTTCAATGTTTATTTAATGTACAGGAATAATTAGTAGTGTGTGTTACTCTCCTATAAACTATTTATATAGCAACACTAAACAAACATTTATTTAATTAATTTAGTAAATACTGACAGTAAAACGTTACCTTGCTTTCCAAATAACTAAGTACCGTGCACATGGCCACAGCGTCACGTAGATGCGCTCTATGCATTCCTTTTATTTCCGCTTGATTTTTTTGAGCTTTGAGATAAATGATTGGAGACGGTTGAAATACTCTTTTTGATTGCGGAATAGTTTGAGCAATTGCTGCCGAAGCCCCTCTTTGAAAAGTTCCCGACGTCGGTATAAGAATTTTTGATTCCGTAGGCCTCCGTAAATCAGCATATATAGCTGCGTATTCATTTACCCTATAAAAAATAAAACAAAAATTGATAATGGTAATTTTAATTAGAACAATATTTCTCATATAGTTTTAAAAAAGATGTAAATACTTGGTGCAGTCAAGGGCGGTGTTTGAATTGGCGTAGCAGTTATAAGCAGAAAGAGCTTCGCGAACTGGCATCGATAGTTTTCCCGCAGGAGTATAGACTCGAAAATCTGTTGAGCTGACGATAACAAAAGCTTTCAAAAGCGGAGCATAAGGAAGATCCCGCCCACGTATGTTGAGAAGCCAAGCGACCTCGTCCAGAGCAGTCACCACCATCGCATCCACTCCTGTCAATCGTAACTCGTTGCGAACTGCTGCGACTTTTTCACGCCAAGTTACACCTTAAAATAGTTTGTTAAAAATTGTAATAAAAATATATGTATGTATTGTATGTATTCAGCTTATTTTTTGACGTCCCACTGCTGGGGGTGGGCCTCCCTTCAATACGAGTGGGATCAGGCCATAGTCCACCACGCTGGCCAAGTGCGGGTTGGCGGACTTCACATGTCTTTCGAAAACTTGCTAGGTTCTCTCAGACATGCAGGTTTCCTCACGATGTTTTCCTTCACCGTAAGGCAAGTGGTAATCATGTTAGAAATGATTCGCACATGAAAATATCAGAGGTGCGAGACCCGGGTTTTGAACCCGCTTCACTCGGTCTCCCAAGCGAGCGCGTTACCACTGGGCTACCACTGCCTAATTAATATATGAATAAATAAAAAAATACGCCACTACTTAATAAAATATATTAAACAAGTTGTTTTATTTATTCTTTCAGTCTACCTGTATATTCTGGATGGTGTAAGTTCGCAACGATCCTAGAGAACTCCGGCCTTTTTCTCATGAGGTCCGTCTCTTCATCCCACAGCGTATCTACTAAATACGGAGCGTGGAACAATTGCATTCCCTCTCGTTGTAAATTAGAACTTAACAGACCCCATTCATTGACTGAGGTGAGCCGCGAGTCGCCGCCTACAGCTCGATCGTTACGTCTTGAACTTGGGCGTTCTTGCTAAAATACAATATAGATCGATTACCTATATAATCAAAATGAAATGCTCTTCATTGGTATGCGTATTACTTGAGCTGAACCAATTTGGTATTTTTTTAACACTCGAATAAGCTTTTCAGGGAAAATATATTGGAAAAAATTGAGTTGAAACTGAAATTTCTGCTTTATATATTTTTTGTAGGTCATCGAAATTCATTTTATTGAAATTCTGACAAGATAAACCTCTATCGGTAATAAGATTTTTTTTTATTATCTCATCCGAAATTTCCACTGAAGATATTTTTAAACATTAATTGGAGACAAAATTGATTACTATGTACATTTTAGAGTATACTTACTGTAATCCATTCCGGAATTGAAGTTTGACTTAGATCGTCTGCATCAAATATTAACCATGCGCAAGATAGCGTGGTCCTGGCGCGACGGACTTCCCCCGATGGAACCCATATAGCTGCGCCTCCGTCTGCCAAAACAACCGCTGTACCCACGCCGTCCCAACCACTTATGTATTCCAGCCGCCGTTCCTCAGGAGATGGATCTTCACTCTGTAAAATTTATAGCTGTAGGTATGTTACATAGTACCAAAGTTGCTTTTAAATAAGTATCCCCGAAAAGCCACTCTTTCAATATTCAATTTTGATTTTTGTCTGTTATTGAATTTATTATTATTATTTATTAGTTTTTGATTAGTGAATTAAAAAAGAAATTTAGACAGTCGCACTGGCTTTTATGTTTTTATATTTACCAAATGTTCATCACTGTAGAAAACAATGAATGCATCGAAATAGGCGCTCATTCTTGTATAGCTGGCGTTGCGCATCGCACTGCGGAGTTTGCCTAAGGGTGAAATGGTAGTGGTGGCTTCGGGGCATATTTGCGGGGGTTGTGGTGCAGTGGGCCGCTGGTTGATGACCTGAGTTATCGGTATGGACACAGTCGTCGCCTGCGTTGTGGTTGTTGATAGCGGTTTTGTTGCGCCTGAGCATACTGAAACAAGTATTAGGTACTATTTATTATAGGGTAGGTATGTGGTGAAACTTGTGATTGTTATATTTAACTAAAAAAATAAAATTTGATAAATATTCTGAAACTAGGTATCGATCTGAAAGGCACTGTTGCAAATGACAAAGTTATTTTATATATTGGTAGTTTATTTTAATTATTTTTATTTTAGGGGCGACAAAAGGTCGATGTTCTTTCTAAGCGTCTTGCAGAAGTCAAGTCATGTTGCAATTTGAAACATGATTGAGCTTTGATTAGCTCAAAAATATACCCAAAAACTATATCTTGTTTAATGTCGATCAAATAGTTGAATTGTAAAAATTATTAAGAAACTGGCAGTTATAGAGGTGACGGCGGCCAATATACAACAGCCTTTATTTAAAAAATGTGTAAATCCACCCACTGATGATGTTCTCCTAGCCGATTCCGGCCATGGCGGCCAATCTCATTGAGACTAGCCAACTGCGCAGGAGATATTATAGTGCACAAGTGTACGCGCAGACACAAGTGCACTCTCTATTCCTGTCACTCTCATATTCCGGTAGGACGACTGCTCGACACGACCAGTGAGAGTTAAGGCGCAGGACCGACGGCTTTACGTGCTCTCCGAGGCACGGGGGTGAAACACCGCCAACTTCCCAACTCCGGGCTGTTACTGAGGCTTACTTATACAGAAAGACTCAATAAATAAACTTTGCCCGACCCGGGACTCGAACCCAGGACCTCCGGGTGTGCAGCCGTACATGCTAGCCACTACACCACCGAGGCAGTTAAAATCCACCCACTACTGGTTAGTTAAAAATATATTGTTTGCAAACACGATCGAAATAGATAAATATACAATTTATGTACTTATAAATCTCATTGAAATGATCAATAATTACGACGATAACAATAAAACCACGGTAATGTTACATATAATAATATGCATAACATTACCGTGGTAAAACGCACTCTGCGTATAGTAAGGACGATTATAAAATTAGCCATATCTATACAAAGGGATAGCATATATCTTCATCTCGCTCGTCGAGGATGTTTCCAGTTCGATTATGAAGGAGAAAGCGGCTAGCGACAGCGACGGTACTGGCGCGGGAAGCTACTAGGGTTCCAGAGGCATAGGGAAGCTTTGAATGAAAGTGAGCTTTGTAAAGCTCACGCGTGCGACAAGGAGATATCGGACGAGTTAGTTACCTCTCGTTTTGTCACCCTCCCCTCAATAAGATACTTCATTCTCAGGTTTCAAATCGGAAACGCCCATTTTACCCTGTCTTTATAGTAACTGGCGTTATCCTGCGGCTTCGCCCGCGTTGGTATTTTTTTTAACAACGAGGAAACAAACTGTTCAGTTTTCCACAGTCGTAATGTTTTATAAGCTAAAATGATTTTCCAAACAGAATGTTTGTAAATATTTGCACTGAAATACAAATATTTGGTGGTACGTACGGTTACCTCGTCAGACTGGCATTTGCTCGAGTTTTATATATAAATATTAGAACAAAAATAACAAATATTTTTTTTAAATGGTTTCGGCCCACAAAATATTATTAATATAGAAAGCTGGAAGAGTTTCATTTCGGTTATTTGAAAACTACCAGTATTTTGAAAAATCCTTTCTGGAGATTAAAGAAAGGTTTATTTTAATCTTAGGAGCGTAGCATATAAATCTACACATAAATAAGAAAGCCGGACGCAGCCGCGAGCAATGCTAGTTTGTAAAAAAAATACATTCAAATATAGTGATGTTTTCAAACGATAACTTTTACAAAATAACAACGGTCGACCCTGATAATGTTTTCACCCTTTCAGGAGTTGAATTTCGAATAATCTGATACACGCATTTCTTTATTTTCGACTTAAGAGCTATATGCCTAACTTTAACAATATAAATGGCGGATTTTTTAACTTTACCGCCCCTATTTACCCCCTTAGGGGCTGAATTTAGAAAAAAATTAAAAGCTCGTAATTATTTAATTACATATAAATACTTAAAGAATTTTGAAAAAACTTTATATAAGTACGTATTTTTTTTTGTTTTAAAGATATATATACTACTTTCCGTTCATATCACATTAATAATGACAGAGTTTCATATAAACTTTCATTTCCTACTTTAGCTCCTAAGGGGATGAATTTCGAAAAATCCTTTAGTCAATAAGACATTGCCTTTTATATTTACAACTAGCATTGCCCGCGGCTCCGCCCGTGTTTATATGACTAAAAACCACATTCTTAGGTTTTACATATTAGTATACTCTTACAATACAGTTTTTGTATTTTTTCTCAGAAATGAGATATTTTCCTGCGGTAAAAAGTATACTATAAGTTGACCCGGATAACCAGCTATCATCATACCAAATTTCATCAAAATCGCTCCAGTGGTATTTCTGTGATGCGGTAACAGACAGACAGAGAGACAGATAAAAATTATAAAAACTGTATACTATATATACTTTATATTACTTATTCGGCCTCTGTATCGATAAGAATTTTTATTTTAATAAAAATTTCCAAAAAATATTTAATGTACATATTCGGCTTAGTTACAATTTTATTTTATGTATAGAAAGAAGATAGATAAGCGAGTTTGAATAAATCACTTCTTACGTTGATAACGTATGTATAAAATACATTGACATAAACAAATGTTTTTAAATATATATATACTAGCGGACCCGACAGACGTTGTCCTGTCTACACGTCTTTAATTTGAAAATTTCAAACTTTTTTTAATAATTTTTTTGATGAAAATTATTATTCAAATTGTGAATCTAAACCATTCCCAGATCCCCTTGAACACACACAAAAAATTTCATCAAAATCGGTCCAGTCGTTTGAGAGAAGTTCAGTGACATACACACTCACAGAAGAATTATATATATAAAGATAAAACCCACACTCAGGTAGACACCGTCCCGTTTTATTTTTATTTTAAACATGTTTACGGGAGAAAAGGAAAGAAAGTATGTGTCCGAACGAAGCTTTTGGGAGGTACCCAAGGGATGTATTCTATTGGAATGACGTCAACAACTAGCAGGAACGCAGAGATCGCAAGGAAGTAGTTTCCGTCCTTTCCCTTTCACTTTTATATTAATAAAATATTTTTGGTTTCACTAAATTACAGATGAATTATTTTATATTTATAATAAAAAAAATTATAACTAGGTAATTTTAATACCAATTTTAATTGATACATTTTTTACAGATAAGTAACAAGATTAAGAACACAAGTTATTAAAAGGTAAAATCGTAAAACAAACTGGTAGTAATTTTAAATTATCACCGTTTTGACATGTTCCGTATGAAGGCACATTGCATATGGCTAGTGGATACCGGTATATTCTCATAGAAAGAATAAATAGTTGGGCGTCTCGTCAAAATGAAGCTAATCACGGAGTTCTAGCTTGTTATTTCATTTAAAAAATCCGTTGGGGCTGTAGACTATAATATTATGTTTATTGTACTAAAAGTAATCAAAATAATGTTAAGGATATCAGTATTTAACAAAACAAAGAATAAAGAAAGATATTACAATATATAAGTTAAGCAAATTTGAAACTTAACACATTAAAAATACGACTTATTATATTATCCATTTAATTATGACTAAACTGTACGAATATATAGTATTCATTTTTTGTTTCGCTTTCTCAGCTATCCCTTAGGATAATCGTACATTCCCAAAGGGACAAAATATCCTGCGATGTACCAGGGCGGCAAATTATAGCAAGAGGTTGTTTACACCGTGTCGTCCTGCGCAAGGATAGGCTCAAGGATTATTATCAGGCGTCGACCGCGGCGTTGCATGCGGCGGCCATTCACTCTGTCTGTTGCACTTCGATAATTATACTGCAGATTGCAACGCTATCGTCATTATAAAAGATACATTATATTATCGGCTTGTGTGTTGCATTTCTGTTATTAATATTTTCTTGAGTATAACTTGTATTAAAACATTTCTAAAATGAAAAAATAAATATTATTTATAATAGTAAAAACTACATAGTTTTTAGTAGTATTTCTAATTGAAATAAAATATATAATCGATCTCCAGTGTCTACAGTTTTATGTATCACAACGTATATATTTGTTAAAATAACTACTATATTGTTTTTTTATTAAGTATTTTATGATTTATTTATGATTTATGTTAATGAAAACGGACTCGTGAAAACAATGGCTTGCCCCCTTTTATTACTAGGGAAATATAACTCAACAAGAGCTTTCCGGAAGGGCACAATGAAAATGCGTGGGGAGAATGGTGTCGTGTACCAATGGCCGGCAAAAACAAAAAAATAGCTGACCGCTCTATCTAACCAATCGATACAATCGAAGAGGTGAGAAAACGATAAAAAAACAATTATAAATGCAATAACATTTAGGACTTTATAAATAGACGATAAAGTTAACAAATTGTTATGATGACATTTCTTTCTAAGGTAGCTTATAAAAAAATAATACCTGGAAAAAACTTTACTAAAACACTTTTACAGCTTTTACAAGTGACATTCATTACATTGTCTTTTTTCTCTTTCTTTCCAAATCGATTCTCACCGAAGGGGAAATGAAAAACTGGTATGGGGATTGCGTCACATGACGTCATTTTTCACCAGGACTTCATACCTGGATAGGAGCATTGAAAGACAAAATGTGGCTGATTTTTAGTAGCGCTGCAAATACTATTTAGTACTTATTACATTTTCTTGTTGATATGTGACGATGATGATTAAAATCGTTGATTCTTATAAAAGCCCACTAGTAAACTCTACTTGTGTAGTTATAATTATTGGTAATTGAAGACGAAACTAAAACTAAAAAGGAGTAGGTACTCAATTCTTCTGTAAATACGCGATATCTTAGCCAAATGTAATGATTTTTAACAATTTTCTTTTAATGAATAGGTTATAACTAATAACCTCAAGGGTGGTGCCATATAAGTTTCAAAAAAAAATCCACCCCTAATCTATATATAAATAGGCTAAAACAAAAGAGTTCAGTACCTACCTTTCTCTCCTCTGTTTGTCAAACAATTTTCTTTTTTTTTGTTTAGTATCTACTATCTATTGACAAGCCTTAGTGGTGACAAATAAATTTTGGAAACTATTTTTATATTATACTAGCGACTCAACCTTGCTTCGCTCGGGTTCGTCCCTAGGTTTATTCCCCATACAAAATTTCATCCCCATTTTTCTTAAATTTTCTAAGTTTCTGCACAATTTTCTTTTTTTTTAATGTTTTATTATAAATATAGATTAAATATAGCCTGCAACACATCGTTGTATGCACAAATTTTTATGAATTAGACGGACTCGATGTGGCATTTTTTGCATGTATCAGTAATATATCAATTATTAAGAATAGCTAAAACTCTTTTAATAACAATTATGCTTAGAATAAGTGAATTATGTATATTAAAAGCGGGAGAACCATTTTTATCACTATACTTTTGCGCATACCATTTGCCCTCCCTCCACGAATGCAGATGATTAAATATGGAACTTACCGGAAATAGCCTTAATACTCAATTAAACTTAGCTTTTCAATTAAGTCCAGCAGTGACTCATTGTCTTAACGAGGGGCCACCGGTTCACAAGTTCGCATCATTACTACGTCCAGACGGGAAATTTTTGTTATATATATCATAATACTTTCTTAGATTGACGCGAATACTTGACATTTTAAATAAAACTATCTTTTCGGATTTTTTTGCGAATTTATTTTGATTTATTTGAAAAATTTCAATTTTTGAATTCATTTTGTTAATTGTGGGTAGGCTGTCTGTAAGAGACATCTAACACCTCAGTCTCTCCCGTGACCATGATTGCTGTAAAGCATTCGAAACGTCGGGAACCAAAAATCAAAATAAATTCGCGAAAAAATCCGAAAATATAGTTTTATTTAAAATTATATATATTATATACCTTTTAATTTAACACTATTACCTAGAGAGAAAAATTTCATTATAAGCATATAATTATTACTACTTAGTACAAAAAATAGGTTTTATTTTGTTATAAAAAACACTTTACTTAAATTACAGACGACTAATTTATTTATTGGTTACTTGTTTAATTCAAGATACATTCTTTTTTCATGTTAATAAAAACTAAAGAAAATCTCTACCAGAGCATTAATAGATTACTAGGCGCACCAAAGTATCAAGAAGGTAGTCCAATAAAATGCTAAGTAATAGGTTTCTATTGCATGCGAGAAGGTATATGAATGAGCCCGTCAATGGAATATCAAAAACGGCACATCCTTCTTCGTTTATACAATCCTAGTCACTTCACTTGCTCTTACTTGCCTAAAGATATGGTTATGTTTTTTTATTGTGTTTACACGAAGAACACGCTGAAGCACGGTGTACAAATAAATGTACAGATGGTGTACAAATTAATACATTCTGAATGAAACATTAATGTTAAAAAATATTGTTACTTTAACTAAGTATATAATATTTTTTGTAATTAAAAAGATAAATATATAAGATAATTCCCGTTTTAACTAATACATAGCTATATATCAGTAAAAACTAATATCAGTTTAAAAATATGTCAGACCATACGTATATTATATAAAAGTACTATATTTATGGATTTTAATTAAGTTTTAAATGCAAAAAGTCTACCTATTGATTATTACGATGTAGGCTGAGCTTTCCTCATTATGTAGAGACCTACCACAACAGTCGCCCACTTACCAGAGGTAATGTAAGAAGAAGACAGCAATACATTGTTATCATAAGAGTAAAAGAGCTGGATTGCTGTAGTGTATTTCAGTCGCGGCTTGAACGATTCTGGTTGTTAAGATACGAAGTGGTGGTATGTACAATGCACCTCTTATTTTCTCTGCAGCTCTGGTATAACAGTCAGCTTTGACGCATGTCACTGCGTTATGGGCGTGTTACACAATATACACAAACCACACACACACAACACATGTGTCACAACATGCTTCTAGCAACCTATGTAGGTTGGTAGAGGCATGTTGTGAACCATTTCTTTTTTTGAGCTACCTGCTGCTAATGAACGCTAGGTATATTATATATATATACGGATATATATATATATATATATATATATATATATATATATATATATATATACCTCAGGTCATATAATACTATACTAGTTATTTTTTGCATTACCTAAGTTTCTCTAAACAAATGTTTTATAGTTTATAATATATTCTTTTAATTCCTCTCATATTTGACATTTTTAAATATCTAAATAAATGAACATATTATTTTTATAATACATACGAGTATTTATTTATTTATTTATGTTTATTAGTCCACAAAATAAATGACAATCAAACACATATAAAATAAAAATAGCTTGCAAAATTAATACACAGGATTGCATTTTTCTAGATGCAGACGCAGCATGCATATTATACAATATATAAATAGTATCATATTGTACTAAAAGTATTTCTGTTTCATGTATATAAATACAATCAATATAAAAACATATTTTACGTAAGGTGACATTACCGATAAGGTTAGTTGGTGCAAGTGTTGCGTAAATACCAAGTAGTAAGCACACATACGAGTACGTACGTATGTGGAACAAACACACCGTTCTCATTTGCGACGTGTAAGTAGCGACGTGTCGGAAAGGGTTGAACATGTGGGCTACATGCACCAGGACAGCATGACGTTCCAGGGAGTATAATATCCCACATGAGATGTTCGTGAATATTATTAATATGTCTCTACAAGCTCTAGTTCGAAACGTATGTTTTTATTATGGGCTTAAATGTAATTGTAACGTGTAATTTTAATAGTATGTACATTTTAGTTAGTAATAATAGATTATAGATTATTTTAATTAAACAATTTACACATATAAACATATATTTTTGGTCTAATAATTATATTAAGATATCCTGAAGGCTGAGCTCATAACTACAAACCTAAATAATATATTATGTACTTACAGAGCGGGTGTAGAATTTTCAGGACAAGGATATTTAACTTCTTTCATCGTCAATTTTCTTGTTGTTTTATACTTTTTTAAATAGACGTTTTTTACGTAATGGACGTAATTTTTTTTATGAAATTGAGAAAATACTAAATATGTATACATTTAAGTTTTCAAGAGGGAACAGTTTCATTGGAAAACTTCACTATAGTAATATTTACTAGTATGTTATATTTATTATATTTTACTTATTGATAGTTTATAATATTATGTAAAAGCTAGACTTAAGTTATAACATCATCTTTTCGCTACAACAGACGGAAGCCTCGGAGACAGAGGTTAAAGCCTGAAATGGTATAATTTAGTAGTTTACGTTACCAAACCGTATTTATCAAAGCAAATTAAAAAGGTAAATTGCCTAATATATTGTAAAGTACCAGCAAATGTACTTTTTCAGTTATTTGTGGCATTTTTCAGTCAATTTCAGCTAATGTCGAGTAGTAATTGAGATTATTTTACTACTTACCTGTGTAGAGACCTTAAACTCATTTATTTGCAATAAGAACGGGAATAAAGAGTACATGTGCATATAGAATGGGAAGTGAAAGTGATAGAGACAGCTCTATTTGTTACCAATTTTACATAAAAAACAATATGATTTCCTTTCACAGCTACCTTTAGACAGCTTTTGTTGGATACCCTTAAGATGTGACGCTACGTTTAAGTATTTTATGCTCTTAGTCTAAGACTATGAATGACCTGACAAGACAGTGAAATTCATTGTGATCATTCCCTGAGAGCTCTGTGCTTTTATGTTTTCCTAGTGGAAGAGATTCAAGTGAGGCCACTTTATCGAAACAGTTTTTTTTTGTTTGTTTGGTTTAAGGAACACCAAACAAACTCGAAGGGATTCAAAATTTTCTAGAAAAAGCTAACAATGCTTTTAGTATGAAGATTTATCCTTCCAACGGGAAGAAGAAGAATAGTTTAATTTTAATATAAAACTTATTTTCATTATATCATATTTGAATTAAATTAAAACATAGTAAAGTACTGATTATCTTAAAATATACAAAAATATACCAGTATATTAACACAAAATATGTATATTCTTAATTATCAATAAAAAAAATGTTTGTTTTCGAACTCGTCAAAATGATTCTATTATTCTACCTTAAAGTCATGCACGGGTAGGCATATTTACGATTATTCAAAAAGCCTTTTCTTTAGTCACACCTCTTTGGTGGAGATGTTCTCCTAGTACACAAAGTCATTGGGAGTGACATGCCCATTATTTCCTTATTTTAAACGCTTTTCATCATTTACACCTTTACTAGGCTGCTGTTGTTATTTAAGTCCCTACCTATCTAACCTCGCCCTTTGCTGGTTTGATTTGCATATTTAATTACTGTTAATTTTGTAAAACCAGGCAACAATTATATATTTATAATATAGTTGTTTTCATTTATTGAGAATGTGTATATATATGTATTTCTATTATATATAATATAATGTATTTAAACTTTTAATCATTTATGTGTCTTATAGCATATACATATATAATGGCAGTATAATTAAGTAGTAGTAGGTAATATTTATCGATAATAATATTTATTGAGCCCTTTTAAATTATTTATAATAAAACACACTTCACTAGGAACGCAAAGAATATGAGGAGATCGAAAGGGCCTGTATAAGGGCCTTTCGAATTCCAAGGTTCGAGCACGCAGTAGGCGTGGTTTCTTCAGCCAATAGCGCGAGAGAACCTTACGCAAGAAGATACGCATGAAGCGGCCCTTCGCGCGTACCTAAGTACAGACGTATACTGTATAGTAGAGCGTCAAGACAAGCCGACTGCAGCGTTGTCCGTTTTATATGATTACTGATTACAAACACATTTCTTTCTCTTTTTGTTTGTTATTTTACTTTTTGATGTATTTTTAAGTAGTTGGTATTTTTCTTAATTATTCTTTTTTTTAAGTTAAAATTATTTCTTTGCATATTTGTTTAATATATATATGTATGGTAAAAAAATATATTATGACTATGAAATAAGTGCAAATTGTTGTACTTTCAAATCAAAACTGTGAACGCTAGGTTTCAAAAAAATGTCCCTAGAATCTTATCCATAAATATTCAAGCAAATTAATCACTACAGATTATAAATATAAAATAAAGTCCCTCGCCGCGACTCTGTCTGAACGCGATAAACTCTACCTAACTCTACCAAACGGATTTTCATACAGTTTTTAACTTTTTACCAATGAACGGAGCGATTCATCAGGATTTTTTCAGTTTAGATATATAATTCATTAAGGTCTTGTTAAATTGGCTGAAATATAACGATGATTATTAAAGATTTTGGAAAAAATCATGCTGACTGGGAGTTTAAACCAATAGAGGTATATGAAAACAATGTACCTAATACGGAATCATTTCTCTTAAAAAAGATCTATAAAAGTATAGTAACCCTATATATATTCGAGAAGCGAGGTTTTACTAGGTTTATAGAATAATAAGAGGTGTTTAATTTATTTCAAGTAACTAAGATTCAAAAATGTACGTAGTTACACAATCGTACAACTATGTTAGTACAATAATATATATAGTAATCTATTACGAGTATTACCTATAAACTAATTTTTATCCTATGCGACATTTTACAGTAGGGATTAATATATGTATAATTTAGCCTACTTGTATTCATATTTAGGATACTTTTAGGGCTGCCCCGCATCCTGCTCACTAAAGGATGTACCTGAGTATATCCGGATATACCAAATGAACTACAGAAGCGAGGCAGCCCATCAGTATTTTAAACAAATTGCTGTGTTGAACACGGAGGGTGTATGATTATTAAACAGATTTAGCTTACAGGCTGCTTGTATATAAAGTTGTATATAAGCTCCAAAGCATGCTTTTCAACACGCTTTTTAACCGACTTCCAATTCCAAAAAGGAGGAGGTTCTCAATTCGTCGGAATCTTTTTTTTATGTATGTTCACCGATTACTCGAAGACGCCTGAACCGATTTGGAAATATTTTTTTTGTTTCAAAGGGTAAGTATACCTTCCAGGTGGTTCCATATACATTTTATCGAAATCGGTCGAGCGGTATTTAAAAAAAATCAACAATATATATATTTTTTTTAAATAAATTGTTTAATCGAATATGTTATTAAAAAACTTTCTTTTTGCAAGTTACCTGCTTATAACGTCTACACTAAAAATGAAAAAATTAAAACTTTTTATTCTTTTAAAATAAAATAAAAACCGACTTCCAGGCACCAAAATGTAAAAAATAACTAAACAGAGGTTTTCATTTCGAATAGACACCTAATCAGATATTTTCGAATTCAGTGCCAGCCAACAATATTTTAAGATATGAATATCTAATAGGTATTTTACGTATTGAAATAAATTAGATTTTTTTGCATCGGCTGGCACCGACCTTGAAAATATCTGATTAGGTATCTATTCGAAATGAAAACCTCCGTTTAGTTATTTTTACATTTTAGTGCCTGGAAGTCGGTTTTTATTTTTTGTAAAAAAGTTTTTATATTAGCTTCGGCCAAAATCAGTATTATTCATTACAGTGGGCATGAATTTAAATAAAGTCTTTAAACAAATACGGTAGATTTAATCAACTAAGCCAATTACACTTCACACACTCAGAACTATAAAACAATGTTAACCAAATAAAGCACAAATTAGACTATACGATTAGAAAATGCACTTAGACCACTCTGGTTTTAGCAGCCTCAATTGTAAGGATGTCCCCGTTTTTAAGGTATTTTATAAATAACATTTTTAGTAGTGTTTTGGTTCTGAATTAATGAATTTTGATAGTACAAGAGAAATCAAAAGAAGAAGTATATATTATCTGCTTTACCATTATTACATTATACTATTGACCTTTTCTTACCTTTTAATTTAGAGGATGTAAAAGATACACTCTATACTTTCATATATAGGAAACTCTACATTTTCATTCTTTATTTATACGTTATATCAACTCATTGTCTTTAGTTAGTTATATAAAATAATATAATGTATATATTCAATGTTGTGATCTAAAAAGTGACTGTACGAGTACTAAATGCCTATTTTCACAACCTCGTATTGAGGGACTTCAGAAATTCGCAGTGAGCAAGGCAAGTATATCTATACCTAAAGGTGTTCTGCTGTCCTAACTCCTAGTTCATATTTACATCGATGTTCCTATTGCGGATCCGCGTCCTTTGGTTTTATGGTATTTATATATTTATTATTATTATTTGATTAATAATAATAATTATTATTATTTATTAGTAAGGAGATTTCTATATAATTTTTATTGTACCCCGATCGCGCATTCACTATGTTTGAAATTCATAAAAAAATACCTGAATCTTTTTTATTGACTGTGTCATATATCTAATAAGTAATAATTAATTAATTAAAAGAGTGTAAGTAAACATGTGTCCAAATTATGTATTTATTTATTAGTCAACATTAAAATATTTATATATATGTACCTACATATCATGTAAAAGCTTTTTTATAAAAATGGCCAATAACATAATAATAAAAAATGCGCCCTTAATACTAATTTCCAAACAAATAATTTCTATACAAAAGCTTTCTCTCCCCTATTCACTACAAATTATTAACTATTTATCGATAGCTGGTAAAGTACTTCGTTCATGGATGAGAAGTATCGGTGATCGCCGATAATGTCGAACTGTTCGGAAAATACTAAGACTGCATAGACGAGGTGAAGGTAGCTTTAACAGAAATCAATACTCCATAATTCGTGTCCAACCTATAGGAGCGTCTGTAATAATATATATATTGCTACTGAAACAGGTGAATGGAACGAGATTCGACGCGAATGTTCTCTGAGACGGCAAAGTGCATTGCGTCTGCGGGACACGATGGTGTGTATGTTTAAAATGAACAATTAAATTTTGGATATTTCAGAAATATATAAATTAATTAATAATAAATATATACTAAATACACTTAAAAAAATAAACTAGAGTATTTATTTATTTATTAATGACGTTTATATTATATGCTCAATCAAATAAAGAAAGAATAAGAATAAATAATCATCATCTCTTTCCCTTTATAAAGAAAAAATAATGATATGCGTAATTAGATCGATGAAGTATTAGGACAACATATACTCAAGAAGGTTGCCGAAAGGGCAACGAAGGGACTCACTCGAATTTTTTTGTTATAAAAATATGCGTCTTGGCTTGGCCTGCATATGGCTCCCTTCCTGAAGTTTGCAATCTGCTTCGAACAGGACTGTATGAACGCGAGATGGTTTTGTACATTTTTGTCGACATCCCTCGAGTAGGCGGGGTATGTTCGTCGCTTGGAAAGACAAAGAGCGATATACATACCGTCAGCAGATTTAACGAAAGAAGAAAAGAGATAGAGAACACTTTCACTACCTTTAGAAGGAATTTAAAAAATGCTACGATACCCAATATCTTGATACATCAAGGGAAAGGGTTAAACTTTGTTGAATTCAAGTCACTAGGGCCGCATGGACTTTAAGGAATGCATTCTTTTTAAGGTATTCATATTATTTTAATGAACAATGTTGTTTTTGAATGGTGATTTAATGAATTTGAAAATATCATTAGTAGAGACAGAATTTGTTTTATTTTAATTTCAGAAAAATATTTTAAATTGTTTTTAGTGCTAATTCTTGTTGCATAATATTAAGACTGTAAACAATTCTTAAATAAGTAAGTCGGTATATAATATTTTTTTCTACTACAAAATTGTAAGATAGTAAATACTTGCATCCAAGGATAATGTAAAATTTAAATTAATAATGTAGAGAATAGATACTTGGGAATTGGTTACTTTACAAGTCTCGAAGTTTATTATGAGCATACTATTTACGTTTTATAAAATTAACTTAATTTGTCATAAACCACAAAATTAGATAAAATTTTAATGGTTTATGTAAATCGTTTGAATATAACTAAATATTTGTTATAAATGAACATTCAGCGCTGATACACTTGACCGTAGGAATGGTCACTGCAAGTGTGCCAGGGTTGCCCGTTGCCAAGTGGCCGGCGCGGCGGGCCAACGCACGCGGCCACACTACCAGGCGCGCAGCCGAGCGAGGCGGTGCACGTTGCATGATGCATCTCATGCACTTGCCGCCTCAATCGCAGGCTAACGCTGCCGGCTGCATTCGGAAACTTGTTTTCATTGCTTATTATAGTTAATGGGCACCTTGCTTTTAGTTAGTAAATATGTTGATTTATTTTTGTATCATCTTTGCATTAACCAATGATTTAGGTGTGTATGTAAGTGTGATGTATAAAAAGTGAATAAATATTACTTAAAACTAAATACGACTAGATACAAAATCGGCAAAATAAAAATTATGATATACTACATTTGTATAGTTACATATTTAATAATATAAATTATAATAAATAAAAAAAAACTATATATTTTTTTTTAAATTCTATTCTGGGAATAGCGGGATACTTTATATATATGTACTTAGTATAAAAATAATGAAAGTGTGGATTACACTGACGCGACGCGGTTATGGCAAAGTTTCTATCAAAACAGAAGTAGGTACATAGTACATATGCAGGCGAAAACTTGGGTAGTAGCTATAGCTATTAAATTGGAATGATATAATTTATTACTTGTAAAGTTGAAGTATATCTGTATCAATTTGTTATGGCGTTGAATTGATTATAGTACCTGGGCGACCGAGCTTCGCTCAGAGTTTTTGGCCAAAAGTACAATTTTCTTTCTTAAAAAAAAAAACTAAAAACTTGAATAAATACAAAAAAAAGTAAAAACTTTATATTCGACATTGATTCCAACCCGGATACCTGTGATTGTCAGTCTTACGCCTTGAGCATTTGATGACCACGATGCTTATGCCCGCCCTAACGTGCGAAATTAGAAATCATATTTTGTGGAATTTTGTGAAATCGTGCGAAAAAAAAACCGCATGAAAACTCGAAAACACGCGTTTTCCCAGACATAAGACTAATCTAGATCGATTTTTCGCCACCGAAAACCACCACATACGAAATTTCAGCGAAATCGTTAGAGCCGTTTCCGAGATCGCCGGTATAAATAAATATACTTACAAGAATTGCTCGTATAAAGGTATTATATTTTCACTAGTAGCTTTGACGGACATGCCAGATAATAACATTTGCTTTTTCTAAACATTTAATAGATTACCACTAAATGCCTTTAGATCGAAGCGAATTAACAAACTAAATCGAAGAAAAATGGCAGAACAATATAGCTCATACTAGCATTGCCCACGGCTCCGCCCGCGTTCAGATGACCAGAAACCAAATTCTTAGGTTTTATACATATATTAGTATACTCTTACATTGCAGTTTTGGCATCAAGCGCGGATCCAGGGGGGGTGGGTCATGGGGGTCATGACCCCTCCCAAAGCCAAATATACTTTTTAGAGAGACTTTTTAGACTGGGACGCCTATACAGTAGCCGGGAAAAATTATAAGTAACTTATACGCCTCAGGAGGCAAGAATGCTGGAGACTCTTCTGCTCCAGCATAGAAAACAATAACCAGGCAATCAGAGTGAAGGCATGCCTCTCCTAAGAGGCAAACAACTCAATTGGCTGCCTCAAAAAACCAGATAACTCATATACCAAAACTGACGCGGAAACCAGCGAACTGCTTTTAACAACCCACTTTCCTGGCTGCCAAATAGCGAATACGCAATTATTAATTTAGCCTTTGGAGCCTTATGAAGAAAGGGTTACTAGCAGTCTAGACTGGAACGCAGCTAAAAACATTGTTAACAAAGAGAAAATAATATGGGCTATAAACACCTTCCTCCCTTTCAAAGCTGCAGGCCTTGATGGAATCTTCCCAGGGTTGCTAAAATGGGGCTTGAACATCGTAGCAGAATACCTGGTGACGCTGTTCCAAGCCTGTATAGCACACCGCTTAATACCGCTGAAGTGGAGAGAAGTAAAAATAATTTTCATACCCAAACCGGGCAGGGAGGATTACACCCTGGCTAAATCCTTTAGACCTATTAGTCTCACCTCGTTCATTCTAAAGACACTGGAGAGACTGGGGGATAGAGAGATTAGAAGTCAGTTATCCACTTCCCACCCATTACATCCAAACCAACATGCATATAGCACAGGAAAATCAACTGAATCTGTACTCCATAGTGTAGTCTCTCGCATAGGTGGCTCGTTAAATCTAAAGCAACCAACCCTAGGTGCCTTTATAGACATAGAGGGAGCTTTCGATAAAACGAACTTCTCTAGCATTAGTAGAGCTCTGCACTCGAATGGGGTAGCCCCAACACTCATAGAATGGATAAATAACATCTTAAAACAACGGGCTGTACAGTTTACTGATAACACCACGACGCGTGGCATCGTAAGCAAAGCCTACCCACAGGGCGGAGTTCTGTCTCCACTGCTGTGGAACCTTGTTGTTAACGAACTCATAACAGAGCTAAACAACAACAGCCTTTATACGGTGGAGTATGTTGACGATATAGCCATTCTAATATCAGCGAACTTTGAAAGCACCTTATGCGACCTAATGAGGAAAGCTTTCAAAATAACAGAACTGGTGCCTTAAACAAGAACTCTCTGTCGATCCCTTGAAGACCGAATTGATCATGTTCACCAACCGAAGAGTACCCGGACCTTACAGACTCCCGAAACTCTTCAACACAGAACTAAAATTCAAGGACGCAGTCAAATACTTGGGTGTAATTCTAGATAGCAAACTGCTCTGGAATAAGCACCTTGACTATAAACTTAACAAAACCACTATTGCCTTTTATCAATGTAAAAAGATGCTAGGCAATAAATGGGGCCTTTCACCGAAAATAACAATGTGGTTATACACTGCTGTAATAAGACCAATGCTAACCTATGGGGCTCTGGTTTGGTGGACTAGAACGGAACTCCGGACTACAATCACCAAATTAGCTCGCTTTCAAAGGCTGGCACTGTCTGCTACCAGTGGATCCATGAAAACAACCCCCACAGCAGCAATAGAGGTTGCGCTCTAAACAACACCCCTGGACCTATTCATACAGCAAGAAGCGACCATGGCTGCTATAAGACTGATGCACTTAGGTCTATGGTGCAAAAACCACCATAGTCCACACACATCCATCCTGGATGGAGCAATAGGACACGAACCACTTATTGCTGCCCCGTGTGACAGAACACACAATAAATATATATTTAACAAAAGATACAAAATAACTATGAGAGAAGAGGAACAAGACCACTCAATTGCCAATGACCTACGTATTTATACTGATGGCTCTAAGACACGAGAAGGCTCGGGAGCTGGTCTATTTTCCCTTGATCTCAACATCAAAACACAAATACCATTAGGCATGCACAGCTCGATTTTCCAATGCGAATGTGTTTATTCTTTTTCTTGGATGATAATCTAACCGAGTGATAATAGAGCAGAGAAAGAAAGAAATAAATGAACCGACGACAGGAGAATTATTATTTTTTCACCATTATGTATTATAGACATTATTATTATTTTACATAGTTATTATATATCTTATTAAAATACAATAACTATGTATTTGAATGCAAAAAAGATCGATTGAAATAGAGTTCCTGTGGCAGAAAAATTATAGATATTACAGGTATTACTTGATATTGATATTCAATAGAAACAAAAACGACATATCTACTTACAATTTTCTTGCTATTTCTTTTCAAATTTCAAAGCTTTTCGGAATTTTGCCATCAGTCAGAAGAGTTAAAGGCCGGGCCCGCTAATAAAGACAAAAGCGGTCATTTATCATGACGCACGCAATTCTGTGATGGCCGACCGTTGACGTGACCCCTTTAAAGTCTGCGATTTATTCACAAGCTTGGACTGTCCATTGCTTTCTTATATTATAAGCATTTAAAGTTTGTAAGTTTATTTTGGATAAAGGGGGGTTTGATCTCTAAAAGTACTGATCTGATTGTATAATTATTATTTTTCACTCATAGGATAACTACATTACCGCCGAGTGTTATAGGCTATTTTTTTATTCCAATAAAAATGTGTTTACTGTCAAAAACCATAAAAAAAATTGATTGAAGTTGAAAAAATTGTTGATAAAACGGGCTATATGGCCCCTGGCTTATTAATTGATATCACATGCACTTGCCGCCTAATGCGTAATAAATAAGTATCATTGGCATTTTAAAATGATTAAATTTAGTCATTTTTAATAAATATAAAAAAAAAACTTCAGAAATAACTGCCAATTGTTCTACTGAGAAAATGAACAAACTTTGTAAGGAACTTCGGCGTCATTTTTTTTTCTAAATTACCATATTATTCAGTGAGTAGATACCGTTTGTAACAAATATTCTATTATAATAACGACGTCTAAAATCTTAATCTCTCCCAAGTGTGCTATAAAATATATAGCATTCGAGACGTTAGGATTCGGGACCCAAAAAACAAATAATAATAATTCAAACAAAACAATAAAAATAATATGTATAAGATAGTTTTATTTAAAATGTTGTAAAAAGTTAAAATATTATATAAATATAATAATGAATGAAACGAAAACCAAATCTAAATGTTAGTACCTACATAATTGTAAACGGGTTAGTTGGCCATCGCAAATTGGGACAGAGAGGGTGCGGCGAGGCCTTTATAAAGAACCCTCGCTCGCTATGCTACCCTAGTAGATATTTATTTTTATGGGCTACGGATAAATGTCAGGGGAGTGCCGGCGGGTGGCGCCGGCGTTTATGACTTGGCTTTACGGTCCAAGTCCACTCATAAAAACATATTCTATTTCTAATGGCAAAGGGCTCGGCGGTGGCCATGAAAATGTGCTAAGTGTCGTTCGGGATTATTATGACGTCATCATGTATAGCATCTAAACTCATATAGGTAATATGAGTGTTTTATTATTTTTGAAATGAAAACTTCTATAGGCAGGTTTGGATGGGGAGTAAATTCATGTAAGTCGTCATCGACATGGTCACGTGACGTGTTAACGCTAACACTCAGAGTGGCGATAGATGTTAAAACCAGATAAATGTAAGCAATTTTGAGATACAAATTTTAAATTAAAATTTGTAACTTAAAACAATTAATTTGAATATTCAAAAACTTTTTAACTAAAAATAAAAACCAACTTCCAGGCACTAAA